CTGCGCTTTACCACCTGCAAGCGCTCTTGGCCACGCCCACTTCTCCGCTCTGCACAAGAACAGCTGATCAGCTGCAGCAGGGAGCTTCTCCTGCAAGCTGTGGACTGCACAAAGGTGCAGCAGGTGCTAAATAATTTAAACTTATTTAGTTTAAACAAAAATTCCCTGCTCATGCGTGCGGCTCATCCATCAATCAGCCAATTGTGTGTCGTGTCCAATCTTATTTATGAAGAACCGCGATAAACCACCCGCGAAGCAGCGAGGGACTATTGTGCAGCTATTTATCAACGAGACTTAAGGAAATTTAAATTATACTTATGCAAAACTTTTTTAACATTTTTAAGTCATTGCATAAGTTTTGCATATTTCCGCTAACGTGTATAATATAATGTCACATGAGCCAGTTTACAGAATATGTCTTTTATTTCTAAAGGATATTAGAACAACATGTTATAAAGCATACTAATTACGCTATAATAAGAAAAAAAACTAAAAAAAAAAGGTATTCTAGATTATCTTTCATAAAGAAAATGTATTTTTCAATTCCTTGATTGCTTTAAACTTCTTGATGTGCCCCTTTGGAAAAAGATGTTGCCCACCTATGCACTAATGCATGAAGAAAACAAGGAGCAAAGCAAAATTTTGCACCCCTTCATGTAACAAGAAGAGGTTGAGTGAAGGTTCAGCAACTTCTTCCAAACATGAAACCACTGGGTGGGGGGTGGGGGGGGGGGCACAACAGCTGTCAGAAACCCTTTATAGGAGTTATAGCAGGGTGTAAACACGATTGTTAAAGCACCGCAGGGCTCCCAGAGCAGCATCATGCCTGGCATGTTCCACCACACACACATCTGCAGAGCAGCTCCCGACACACACCGTTTCAATTAAACATCAATGGGCACCAGGAAGCTCTCTCGTGCTACAGTCGAAGTACGCCTATTAAACACTCAATCATGCACCCACAGAGCTCTCCACACCTGCTCTGCTTCCACTCCAACTGCGCTGCGAGCACGTTGCGTGACTTACCCAGAGAGGACAACTCGTTGTTGTGTAGCGTGAAAAACAATATGTCAACATCAGCAGAAGATGCTTCCACCAGCATTTCACTGCAGGTGCGGATCCTCGCCACCTGTGTTAAGGTGAGGTGGATGTGTTTGAAGTGAAGGAAAAGTAAAAAGTCAGCGCCTGATATCAATCGGATCATCGAAACCGCTCCCAGAAAGGAAGCCGGTCTTCATTTTTGTTGTGGGGCAGTGGCCAATATTTCTGTGCTTTTGATCCGGCAGATGTTCGTATAATGGACAAAAAGGCAAAAAATTTTTAATTAAAAAAAAAGGTAGAAAAATATTTGTCTGGAGTTGCTTTATGACAAACACCCTGCAGTTTCTGCCTCCTACATGCGTACAGGCATCGGTAACACTTCTGATACAAAAAAAACATTTATATTCCTTGCATGCATATTTTGAATATTACATGTTTATTACTGCAGTTTTCATGAGCCTCAACATTTCTCAGCCTGACTTATTTTTAAACAAGTTTCATTTTTCCTTCTGAGTTTCCCCCCCTGTTTCCATCCGTGCTTTTGTAAAAGCTTTGGAATGTTACAAAGCCCAAAGTCCACAGAAAAGGGAGTTATTATCACCATGAAACTCATTTGCATAAGGCCTGCCTAATCTTTGGCACAACCTCAAACAATCCCAGAGCATCTGCCTCACACTCTGAAGTGTGATGAATCAGATGAACAATCAGAGCTCTGGGTTAGTCAGAAAAACGAGGCTTTAAACAAAGTTTTTCGGATTCGAGGTGCTATGCAATGAGAAAAACAAGGCGTTTACGAACATTAAAGCATGCCAATTTAATTTTGTGTGAATATCTAAAGTAAATTCCTAAACAGAAATTTGGAACGTTAATTGCACGTTAAAGCACAATTCCTAATAATTTCTGACTATGGTGTTTGGTGACAGTAATCTATTGATTATTTATCTCTCAAATATGATTTTTACAAAAATAGCAGCATCGTTAAACAGTCTTTATACGAGTACAATTGCTTAAACAAATATTTTCCCCATTGATAATCAAAGCAGGCCTAACCTTTGTGCTCCGAGTGGTTTTGTATGTTACAAGAAGTTACATCCAGTAACTACTACCACCTCTCAGGTGCAAGTGTGCAAAACAGCATAAAGTGATAAGATAAGATAAGATAAGATAAGATAAGATAAGATAAGATAAGATAAGATAAGATAAGATAAGATAAGATAAGATAAGATAAGATTGACCTTTATTGATCTCGAAGGAAATTGTTGAAAGTATTAATACACAACCTGCATGGTGTGTTAGGTAAAATGTGTAATAATTACAATATATTTTGGACCAGATGACACAACAAGACATATGATGAGTTGCAAACCGTCTTTGGAACAGATAAAAGATCTGGTCCCTTTTTGCATTAAGAATCAGAATCAGAATGCCTTTATTGTCATTATACGCAGTACAATGAAATTAAGAGCCACTCCTTTTTCCAGTGCAAAAACACGCCTTAAGAAAACACACATTAAACACACACTAAAAATATAAAAAATGTAACGCAATATAGATATAATAATGAAAGTAAAAAATATAAGTATTACACAATTGTATTGCACATTATGGATATTAGTGAGGTAGTTAAGGTGACTGAGAGTATGAAATGTCAGTAGTATTGCACAGTAGAAGTCCAGGTGTTTGGGAGGTTAGATGATTAAATCAGTGCATGTGTGAGTTCAGTGTGGTGATGGCGTTCGGGAAAAAACTGTTCTTGAATCTGTTTGTTCGTGTTCTGATGCACCTGTAGCGCTTCCCTGAAGGTAACAAGTCAAACAGTTCAAGTGTTTCAGTTTCAGTTCAGTTAAACCTCTATTCGTGGCACTCCTAAAACAGATAACATGTAACAAATGATGACAGCACGTTTTTCAAACTTCACTCCGTATCTTTCTGTGTGTGACACTAGAAAATATCGTGCAATATATCAATATCGTACAATATTCAATAATATGTAATATTGTAATATTACAACATTACAATATTGTACAGTATTGTGTAATATATTAAAATATAGAAAAATCTTAACTATTAACAATGGTATACCACAAGGCTCAGTCTTAGGACACACCCTCTTCACAATCTACATAGGTCATATAGGTCAGATCATCCCTGATGCATCCTTACATTTCTATGCTGATGATACAGTTGTTTACTGTCAAGCTAAAACAGTTGCTAAGGTTTTCCAGCTTCTGCGATCCTCTTTTGACATCATCCAGTCAGATTTGTTCCGTCTCAAACTTGTCCTAAATGCCGACAAAACCAAAGGGATGTCGTTTTCAAACAGGAAGTCGGTCCCAGCAGTTCTTCCTCCTATATTATCTTCGAGTGGTGTTCCTATTGAGTTTGTCGATTCTTACAAATATTTGGGTATCTTGGTCAATTCGCATCTCTCTTTTAAACCACATGTTGAAAACTTGGTAAAGAAACAAAGAAAAAATTGGGTTTCTTTTTCAGAGATAGATCCTGTCTAACTCTGAATGCTAGAAAATGCCTTTTAACTATTTCTTTCCCTCCATTGACTACGGTGACATTATTTACATGAACGCTCCTACAAGAACCCTGCAGATGTTGGATGCTGTCTATCATGGTGCACTAAGATTCATAACTGACTGTAACTACCGTACCCACCATTGCACCCAGTATTCACTGGTTAACTGGTCACCATTAACTTCACGCACTCTCTCACTGGTACATTTTCATCTTTAAATCACTTCTTGGTTTGCTGCTTCTGTGAGTGCAGCTACAGCGTGCGCTCTCAGGACATTATTACCTGCAGTGTTCCCTCAGTGCAGACTGAACTAGGCAAAAGGGCCTTCTCCTACTCCGCTCCTGTTTCCTGGAATATCTTACAAAAAGATCTGAAGCTCTCGACCTTGACCTCTCTAAGTGGTTTCAAACACCTGTTAAGTTCATGGCAAAAACCAACGCAGACATGTTCCTGTTTTTAGTTTTCTACATCAATTTACATCGCTGTTTTTTTCCCTTTGTTTTTTTAAATATCATTTTCTTTCTTTTTCCCCCAATTTATATGCCTTCTTTTATGATTGTCCACTGTTGTCATCACTCTTTGTTAAAAACAGGTCTCTCTTTTAAATGAGTCCAGAACGCTCAATGAGACTAACCTGTATAAATAAAGGTTGAATGAAAAAAATATCTCAATAAATGTATGTCCGGGTTATGATGCTGCAGCTGCCCAGAATTTCAAAACATAAACTTGGTAATAATCGGAGCTTAGAAGCAATGTCTACATATTTATATATGAACAGTACAAAACGAGAAAAGAGAAACAAGATCCAAAGAAAAGCAGACAGAAACATAAATTATGAGCCGCTGTGTGAAAACTACAAGTTGCATCTTTAAAATGCTTAAGTAGCAGCAGAAGACTGATGGTCACGTGTGTGAAATGTTATGTTTCTGTAGTGTTTTAAATTAAAAAGACACTTCACTTCCCGTTTTAAGGAGAACATTATAACTTAAGTTTACACAATAAATGAAAGGACAAACCTCTTAAATCTTAAACTCAAACTTTCTGAGATCCACTTTGAATGACTTTCCTGCTGTGATGCCTTTCTGATCTGCAGGTCTCCAGAGGGGGCTGGGTGCTCTAAAATCCAGTTGTTGTGTCCGGGTACGTTTCTTAGTTTGTAGCAGATTTCGTTAAGTCGTACGACTTATCGCTAGGCCACTAATCCTGATTGAGCCACATGTTTGGATGTGAAATCGGACAAAAACGTGAACAGAACAAGAATACAGGTGCGTCAATACTCATGCACCCATAGTCATGTGATACTGAAAACATCCTTCTGGTTGCTTCCATTTCAAGAACCAAAAAAAAGAGTAACCAAACAAAGCGTATACTTTGAGATCTTGATGTCTTTTTGTAACTGGATCAAAATTAAAGACACAGAGCTCCACCTTACCTCGCCTCGGCTGCAGGGGGAAGCTCCTGAGTACTTGGAGGTGCAGGTGGCTCCGTCCCGGCCCACGCTTGCCTTTCCTTCCTCCAGCCCAAAGGAGGCGCTACAGTTACTGGCGAAGTACTGCAGCATCTTCCACGTTCGACCAAAGTCCTGTGAGCGCTCCAGGGTCATGGCGGCCGGCCGCGGCGAGCGAAACACTACGATGAGATGTGTGAAGTAGAACTCCGTCTCCAGGTCTAGCTGCACCGTCTCGGACTCCGCATGGCCTGCTGACTGCCACCAGGTGTTCGGGTGGCGGAAGGAGGAGTCGGACATAGCCCCGGCCAGGTGGGACAGGAGAGGCAGGCCGACGTTGCATTTGGCACATTTGGGGGCGCCGCAGGCCAGGTTGGCATTGGGGTCAGAGTACGAGCAGAAGAGCTCTGTGCCGTTGTTACCACAGACGGTCTGCGTCAGGACCCGCCGACCCAGGACCAGGTTCCCCATGCGGGGGTTGCACGCCCGGCTCTCGCAGCGGGGGGCCACACCTGCTCGAAACACCTCTACTGACAGACCTGTAAATTTAAACAAATGCAAGAATGAATTTACTGTAACAGCTTTGAAGAGAAATCTGGCCTCAAATTAAAGGATCAGTTCACACAAAATCACTTAAAGATAACAATTCAGTAAAACGTCTTTTAACAAAATAATACATTAGAGAAATGTCTTGTTTTGTAGAAATGCAGTTGTGCTAAATGACTTTAATAAAATCTGTTCAAGAATGAAAAGTTTGAATTGTTAACGTTAAAACAAGCAGAAAAGGAGCCAAACAAAAAAAAAAAAAAATCAACAAATGCTTAGCTTAAAGCCTCGTTTTAGCAAAACAGTAGCTAAAAGTGAAAATTGGCAAATGTTGTAAAAACAGTTCCTTAAATATAAAAGTAGAGTTAGAAAACTATAAGAGCAAGTTTTCTGAAGCAGATTTCAGGGATCAATGTTTTCGAAGGAATTGAAGAGATCCGTGTATTTTATGGGGAAAATATTTGTAAATAAAGTTAAATATACTGAAAAGCTTAAAAGTTACAAACACCAAAAGTCATAGCACACTGTTCCCAATGGAGCTGAACGTTAAGTGACATTTTAATGGTTAAAAAGGCACAAAGTTTGCTGAAATAATGATGATTGCAAAAAAAAAACAAAAAAAAAAAACTATGAAAAGATATAAGCAGGAAAACAGTGAATGCTGACTCAGCAATAGTTATAAGAGAACAAACACATTTCAGGGATCATAAACATGAGCACAAAAAGAAAAAAAAACACACTGTTGTGTTTCTGTCTCTTTTTAAATTTACAGTCAAACGCAACTCGATTTAAAGCCGACATCCACATTGGAGGGGCACTGTTCAAAGAATAGTGAGCAGAATCAGGTAAAAGTCTGAGCGAGGTGCACCGAGGTGACTCACTGTGCCTGTGTACACTAGTCAAGTGATTTACCTCCGTCGGAAGTGTTATGCAAAAAGGATAATGGAGGCATTGTGCACCTGCCTGCTGCGAACGGCGGCCAGCGTGGACTCTTGACACAGATCAAGTTTGGCAGCTTGAGAAGACGAGCCCCTCCAGGGCCACGGCGTCAGGTTCCACTGTGGATTTATTATCCTCAACCTGTTGGTTTATTTAGCGTTACTGTATGCCCAAACTGGTTTTCAGCTGGAAAACCTCAAAGATGGACAGAATATAATAAATGGATGAATGATTTTGCACAGAGGAAGGCTTTCTGATGGGTGTTGGACATAAATCTTCAGAAAGCTCAGATTGAGGAGAATTATGAGCCATGCCATAAAAAAAGAGCTAAACATTTAACCCTGATTATCACTGAAGGGATGATTTTTTTTTTAACCCATGTCTGTGTGTTTATTACCCAAATATCATAAAACACTGTACAAATTTTAATAAAACTCCCATAAAGTAATCAGCAGAGATCAAGGAGCTAATCCTATTCAAGATGGCCGCCACAACAGCTTTGCAGATATAAAGTCTGATGTGGTAGTAGCTGAGAGTCATCCACAACACGCAGTCCAGGTGCAACTCAATGTGCTAGATCCTTACTTTAAACTAGTACAGTCAACCCTCTCTGTCTGTTAGCAAAATATCTCGTGAAGCACTGGATGGATTTTAATGAAACTCTGGAGTTGATCCGTTTTAGTTTGGGCGCACATCACAAGTGTGGCTGTAACTCAGTTGGTTTTGCCGATATTGGGTTAATAATTGCTGTGGTAGTAGCTGAGAGTCGTTCCTGACAAATGCAAGCGTGACATTGCGAGACTGTGCTTAATTTAAAAGGTATTTATTTCTCAACACAAGATGGTCTTAGTCTAAAACTCTGGCATAATAGACTGTGGGCGATATGCATCCCTTCCAGTTAGGATTATTGTTATTTGTGTTAACTTTCCCTGTGATAAACCCAGACTCAGGATAATATGAGCACCTTTATAAACAGACCAGTGCTGTGATGAAATAAAAAAAGACAACTTTCTTGTTCAGAGCCAGACTTGACCATCTTACCTGCCTCTGACAACACGGCCAGGCTGATCACAAACAACAGCAGCATGGTCTCCTGCACGCAGCCAGGACCCAACATATGAGAGGGGGCACCCTGATGGGGTTCTCCAGACAGACAGTCTGCAGAGGTCTCAGCCAGCAGAGACCCGGGACTTCAGATCCAGTGTGGACTCTCTCTTTCACTCAGCAGCGACCCAATCAGGCGATAACAGCTCAGGCGCATGAAAGAACAACATGATCCTGGACGGTGATGGATGTCCCGCTGACAGAGGCACAAGGCTGGAACGGCTCGGTTCGGCTCGGGACCTGCAGCAGGTTTCATTTCCCTGCGGTGTGTGAGTCCGCCGCCTGCGCGTCTATTTCTAAGGAGCGCACGGAGAGGCTGTGTGTCCGCAGAGCCGCGCGCAAGCTCCGCCTCCCTGCGCGCGTCCTGCCCCGACTTAAAGAAACACCGACCAGACCAGACGCCACGCACGTTTTTTCTAACACAAACCGGTCCAAAAGACCTCCTTTACTGGTTAAACTTCACCTTCCTTCTGACAGTGGCGATTTTAGCCTTTTTTTTGAGGGGGGTCAAGCACCCCTAAATTTTAACTCAGCACCCCTGAAAATGGGACCGTTCTAACTGTTTGGGTTCTGTTTATTGCATTTATGATTCAAGGCAACAAAATGAACAAATTTAAAAGGTAACAGACCTTGGTTTAGTTACATAATTACTTTAATTGCTGGATGTGCGGCCCCTGAACTGCTGGCTTTCAGTAACTGTGCCCCCCCCCAGCAGTTTAGTTAAACAGCCCTGCTTTAGAGGATAATACAGTTTATTCCATTTCCAAAACTGAGAACAATGTAAAATATGATAAATCCCTGCGGTCGACCTCATGATCCACTGAATACAACAGTGATAAACAGGAAGTACCACATGTTCAGCTGTATGAAGGTAAATACATTTTCTGTCATAATTACATTGTATGCTTAATGGTGAAATTAAAGGTTAATGCTTAAAGCTAGTTGTGTTTTGCTTTGTGTGTTTTGTATGTAGATATATGTTGTAACTTCTGGTTGCCTTTGTTTGTTATAATCAGTTGAACACTAAACTGATTTTGTACAAAGCATTTATATTATGCAATGTAAATCAGAGCACTACATCTGTAGCATCTTAGCTAGCACATCTGTATTGCACTTCGCTAGCTTAGCGTTACTTCTTGTGCCGTGTTCTCTAAAATAGTTGTTGAATCAAATGTTTATGTAGGTAAACATAGATGTTTAACAACCAGAATGCAGAAAATGGCATCTACTTTATTCAAAATTTTCTGGGGGTGGACCCCCCCCCCCCCACACACACACACACACACACACACACACAAACATACACACCAGTGTGTCCCCCCCACATCACAAATGCTTCTGACGCCAATGGCCATCACGTTGTTCGAGCCAAGAGCCATTGTCAACACTGGGGGCTAAGCACCCCTAAAGGTCAGATTCTAGAATCGCCCCTGCCTTCTGCGTTGTCTTACTATATAACTGGTTCCCGTGTTTTTGCCGTTTCAGTTCAAACAAAAGATTTTATTGAAACATTCAAAAAGCAATCCTTGGATCTCATGGATATTTCAGACTTTGAGACCAACTGTCTCCACCTCTGTCTGGATTTGAAGCCAGCAGGAACAGTTTTATTGGAGCTGCCATGCTGTATTTTGGAAACAGAATCTGTGCAATGAGGGCCTTAAGTCCCACCTACGCACAATTATAGAGTCACATACCTTTCTTTAAAGCATGACATAACTATGGATGGATGTTTACACGGAGAGGGAAGGACTTAAAACCTGTACTGGAACCAGCCAACAGGGAAGCTAGTCCCATTCCGACTTCAGCTTCTGTATTCCTGTTCAAGATCAACCTCTGTGCAGTCTTTAATACATCTACAATTAATTAACTTTTGGAGTCAACCCAATTCAAGAAGCCTGCTATTAAGTGAACTTAGCCAACAAAAATAAGCAAAAACTCTGGTAATTTTACAGATTTTTTGCTAAAATATGGTGATCTAGTAGCTTAGACTCAGAGCTTGATATCGTATGAGATCAGTACGGTGGCTGACAGCTGCAAACAGCTAAACACACAGAAAACACATGAATGATGCCAACTACAAAACAAAACAAAAAACAAACGAACAAATGCAGCAGAACAACGCTGCAAAAGAAAAACATCTGCAATCACAGAAAATAGAACAGCAACAAAAAATGAATGCAAAGGAAAAATACTGCAAATATCGAACACACACACACCAAAACAACTGCAAGTATGAAACGCTGCAAACTCACTCCAAAAAAACAGAAGTGCACCAGACCAGGAAGGGGACTAGACCACCAGGTCATCTGGGACCAAGCCCCCTGGAAACACATTATAGCTGAGCCACTGGGCAAAATGAGGCTTATTTTAGGAGTTGAATGCACACGGAGTACATAAATATGCAACTTAATTTAATTTAAAGCAAAATTTTTTATGTTTATTTAAAGCCTGGTTGTACAAAAATCGAAGCACCGACGCTGTAATTGTCTTGAAAAGGATAGGCTACCACCAATACGGCTAAATCCTACATAGCCGTTTTGGCTATATATACAACGCCAAAAGCATCTAAAGAACATATTTTCTGTCCTAATGCATCCTTAATATATTGGCATTAAGGTAATTAATGTTTATTTCATACAGATTGGTGAACATAGTTGAAAACATTTAGAAATATAGTTTTAAAAATGAGCCTGTCTTGTAAATTGCGAGAGGCCTTTATACTCATCCAAACACTAACATCAGCAATATGGCAACATAAACTTAAATCCATGCTGCAACGTTGTTTTCTGTTGCATTGATAGGATCTAGATGGTGCCTACCACCATGCGGCTCACATTAACCTGCATGAAGCCCTGCACCAGCATCCCACACCAGAACACAGACTGTCTGAAGGTGAACAAACAGGGTAACGGATAGTAAACACACACTTGAGCCATGAAAGTGGCACTCGTGAGGCTTAAAGCAGGAACAGAAGAACTAATGTAATCCATTATAAAATGTTTGATTTCTAAAAATATATCACTAGATCTTTATTTTGATATATCTGCACTCTTACCTTATACAGCTTTTAAAGGATATTTTGTATTTATTATTACAGAGAAGTCACATTTATCACTAAATATACAAGACAGAGCAAATTCATCCTGAATACAAGACATTTTCAACTCTAGGAACAGGAAGTTGTTGGCATGTGAAGTTTTTTTGGTTACAATTATAGTACTTTAAAAAATTGATGAGAAAATTTGTGCTTTTGAGCGACCAGTCTTTATTTTTGACAGAATTTTTTTTCACCTTAAACAAGTGTTTAATTCAGGAATTAAAATGGTTGTTTAAAAAAATAAAAATTAAGAGCGTAGCAATTATTTTTACATCATATTTTAATGTACAAAACACATTTTTTCCTTTATTTCTTATTTCTAGTTTGACAGTTTATATATATATATATATTTTATTTTTTTTTAATTTGTCGCAGACAGAATTTTCAGATACTGTTCATCAAATGCATTTTAAATGACACTTGTTTCTGTTTTGTACTTAAATTTTTTCAATTTTCTGAATAGGCTTGCTGCATTTCACGTTAAAATCTGTATTAGATAAAAGGACTAAACAAAGCAACAAATACTGCAGAAGAATATTCTGAAAGCCTGGAAAACTTCTGATCAAGACCACTTTTAAAATCTAACACCTTTAAAGCTAAATATAAAAAATAAGCATTGGCTCAAGACTTCTGCACAGTTCTGTGTCTGCATATAAAACAAGCTTGCCTTCCTCTTCTGGTTCTACTGTAAAAGAAAGTACCAATTAAATGTTGCATACAACAATTTGATCAGAGCCTACGGTGACGTGAGGATAGTGCAACACTTCCCTCTAGTGATTTAAGATGATTCATCTTTTATTTTCTGTAAGTGGAGTGCAGTGATTTTATTCAGTGAGCAAAACATATGTAATAAACACATACATGTGGCATTTTCAGCAACTTATTACGTTATTTATAATAAAGACATTGTTTTACTGCATGTTAACAGTTAAATGTAACCAGACAAATAAATCATTCTACGCAATGATCATGCAATTTACTGTAAATCAAGAGTATATATTGTCAAACTAAGTGTGTGTATCGTTAACAACTTACTATATTATTGTTCTTATATGAGTAAACTTATACAAGAATAGCCAACTTTAAGTCTTAAACAAAACGATTGAATCAGTGGAAATTAGTTTAAGCAGTTGAAATATAAACATATATATATATATATTGTTTGTTGTAAATGAAAAGGTTTTAAATTAAAACATAATAATGTGAATTTTCAGTCACCATAAAAAACAAACAAACAAAAAAAAAAAAAACAATAACAACAACGTCACGTAGACGAGGACGCGCTCGCGCTAACACCACGCGACGCGACCCGAGCTGACAAGATGGCGATCATTTCAGCAGCACTAGAGTAACTGAAGGTGAGGCTCGGTGAGCTGTGTTATATATATATTTTTAGAATAAGGTCTTTGTTTTACGTTTATAGCACTAAGTTTAACACACTTTCGTGCTCAAGTCGAGTGTTAGTGATAAAGCTGTGCCGGATGTGGGGCTAACGCCTGAACTTGTTGGGATTTGAGCCCGGTTGCTAACTAGCATGCTAGGCTAATATTAGCCGCTAAAGCTCACTAACCTCTTGAACAAACAAAACTAAACGATAGTCGTAGTGCACTTGTTTATGTGATGTACTAAAAAAAAATCTAAGGTTTCGTGCTATTATTTATACATTGCATGGAGTGACTGGGGATGTAGCTTTTATTTTTTTATATATATAAATATCAAAGCTTACAAGTTAGCGGTAGCCGCGAGCTAAAATGTTAGCTGTAAGGTTATAAATCATTTTTTAGCTGCTTCAGTAATAAACCGGCGTGTGTCGTTCTGCTCCTGTGTCGAGACAGTTATAGGTTTGTTTACCCACTGGAAGTGCTTTGTTGTGTCACATTTGCTTAGGAGTTATTGTAAAGATGAATGGAAAGCTTCAGATGCGGAACATAACCAGGCAAAGCGCGCTGACCAGTTAGTTGTTGATCCCAAAAACTCTGGATCGCCCTTCTCAAGATTCGTACACGAATTGTTAAATTAATTAAATCTATTCCATCAATAAAAGCTCTGTGGTCGTAACTAGCATTGGTGAAAATATCCAAATGAGTTTTGTGTTTCGCGTTATATTTTAGTAAACACTGACTCATCACAGTGACACGATTTGTTTATATATATATATATATATATATATATATATATATATATATAATCGGTGGGAAAAAGTTATCACTTATATATTATATATAATTATAATTAAAATTAAATTACTTATTATTATTATTACTAAGTGATACAATTTTTTTTTGATTATGGGATAAATTATTATGCAAGTCAGCGTTATAAACGGTCCATTTGATCAGCAACAAGAACTCCCATAGAAGACAAGAAATGACATGTGTGATAAACATATTCCTGTTTTTGTTTATCGTGATTTACTAAAAGAGACTTCATAATTTATTGTTTAATTGTTTACATTTTTTTTTTAACATGTTCACGTCCTTCAGCGTGTTGAGAAAGTGGAGGTTCAGATGTAGTTTGCAGTTTTGCTTAGCGGGTCATTCAGTGATGTAGCTCTGCTGGCCAGTCAATGGCCGCTGTCTGCTTACATCAAAATCGCCCTCTCTGAGCAGCCCGCTTGGAACCTCAAACAAGGTGGTCCCATAAACGGAGTTGAGTGGGGTGGATACCAACAGTGGAGAGGCCCCTTAACTGGTGCCATGTCGTGCAGAGCCGGTGAGAGTTGAGACGGTGGCAAAGCGCCATTAGTGCACTCAGGAAACTGCTTTTTCCCCACTAACAATGAGGAAATAAGAAAGCTTGTCCATCCATCTCTCCATCTACTGCTTATCAGTAAGTCGGGTCACGGAAGCAACAGGTCCAGAGGAGGCCCAAACATTATTTTCATCCGCAAAATTCTCCAGCTTCTCCTGTGGCATCCCAAAGCATTCCCTAAAGTATGATAGTTCCCAGGCCAGAAAAGATACACAATCTCTCCGAGTTCTAGCTCTGCCTTGGGGCCTCTTCCTGGTGGGAGATGCCTGGAATATCTCCAAAGGGAGGCATCTAGGAGGCATCATAATCCGATGCCTGAATCACCCCAACGGCTCTACTCCGAGCTTTCCCGGACAACAGGGCTCCTCACCCTCTCACGGCTGAGCTCTGCCACCCTACGAAGGAAGCTCACTTTGGCCACTTGTGTCTAAGATCTTGTTCTGGTTGAGAACCATGGTCTCAGAATTAGAGGTCGTGTGTGGTAATTAATTTGAACCAAGCTACACCATAGTGATTGGTTCTTATAAACACTCTTGTAGTAATAGATGTTTTTGCTCTTGATATTTAGGAGAGCCCCAGATATTTAGGAGAATGTGTGAAGTTCATTTTAGATATCTTCAGCAATCATTCACACTTGTACTTTGCGGCGAGAGATTTTCTGTTATAGATGCTCTCTCAGCTGGAAATGCAAGAAACTTTGGAGACATCTGTAAAAAAAACAAGTATCACTATCTCTCACCACCACATTGATTTTCTGAATATTTTACTCGGTGGCTAGTTGGAAAAATGTAAAAGAAATCTTGAGCATGTGAATGCTTGTGTTCTCACATGCCATGTCTTTAGAATATCTACAACTTTCCGGTGCTTTTGTGAAAATCATAAAGGAAACTCAGGAACTTGTTTATTACTTATTAACTTAAAGTATTGTGTTATAATATGGAGTTTTGTTAAAGGAGCACACAGTCATGCCCCTGTGAAGTCACTGTTCTCGCTGCCTACTGAAATTGTATTAATCTTATCTAAAGACTTTCTCCTGTGGATGTTTTTCACACTTTTGCTGAACAGTTCATGTCAAATCAAACACCCTCCTGTTAAGTGAACCTGCCTGACCGCACAAATTACAGTCTTGTTTACAGCTGAGTAACTTTACTTTTAAATCATGTCTCTGTTGGAAAATGTTATGATCTTTTGCCACCTGGTAGTTTGCCTCAGTTTACTGTGGTCTCCTTAAATGCTCAGAGGAAGTGAGCCATGTTTAAAAGATTGATGGTGTTAGAAGAGCTAAATGCCAAAAAAAAAAACTAATATATAATTTCAAACAAGACATTTAACTTTTAAGACGGATGAGTCAGTAGACCAAGACAAACTTTTTAACATAGTTTTTTGGTCAGACGGGTTCAATTAAGTGTCTCTTTATCTGCAATCTGTTTTTCTTATCTTTGCTCTGTTACTTTCAGACGACACAACCATGCCCTGGAACCGTCCCATTTCTCTGCGTACCAAGGTGATGTGAAGTCGGCGTGAAACATTGGCGCATACGCTCAGCCTTACACTCTCTCACTCAGTCAGCTGTTGACTGACACGGCCTGCCAGCTCGACCGGCAGGCTCGTGTAATGGACAGGTGTAAGCATGTGGGGCGGCTGCGGCTGGCCCCTGATCATTCCATCCTCAACCCCCAGAAATGGCACTGCGTCGACTGTAACACCACTGAGTCTGTTTGGGCCTGTCTGAGCTGCGCGCATGTAGCGTGTGGCCGCTACATTGAGGAGCATGCGCTACAGCACTTCCAACAACAGCACCACCCGTTGGCGATGGAGGTTAATGAGCTCTATGTTTTTTGTTACTTGTGTGATGACTATGTGCTGAATGATAATGCCACGGGAGACCTAAAGCTGCTACGCAGTACGCTCAGTGCAATCCAAAGCCAGCGCTATGAAGTTACTACCCGCAGCGGGCGCACCCTTCGCTCTGCTAGTGTTGCGCCAGATGCCCTTACGTTATGTGGTGCGTACGAGCTGCAGCTGAAGGATGAAGACCGAATGTTTACCGCCCTTTGGCATCGCCGCAGGGCACTCATGGGACGTATTTTTCGTCTTTGGTTTGGCCTGACTGAATGTGGAAAGAGGAGAGAAGAAGAAGAAAGAAAGAGGGAGGAGGAAGAGGAACAGAAAAGGGAGGCCAGGGAGAGAAGGCGTGCTCTGAAGAGGCAGCTACAGGAGGAGCTGGACAGTGCTCCCCTCAGAAAGAGTCGTCGCTTGCGACGGAAGAGCCAGAGAGTTGCTGTTGTAGTAATCGCAGCACCAGCCTCTCAAAAGACTCTCAAAAAGACTAAAGCTCGTGTCTCCTCATCTCAGACTCACAAGCCACGGACTCGAATTCCTGCCAAGAAAGCCAGACAAACAAAAAAGGCCCGACCTGCTCCCAAACCCCAGAGACGATCCGCTAACACCAAATCAAAGCCCAAAACACCTCCGGCAAGCTCTCGCACTGCCAAACCCCCTGCCTGTCGCAAGCAGAGTGACAAACAGAGTGGCTCACCTTTCAAACGACGTCCTACGGTCACTCCTGGTGTGACAGGCTTAAGGAATTTAGGAAACACCTGTTATATGAACTCCATCCTGCAGGTGCTGAGTCACCTGCACGTTTTTAGGGAGTGCTTTCTGCGTCTGGACCTGGCCCAGGCGCTGGAGCTTCTGGCTTCTGCCGTACAGGGCCAACTAGCAGGAAAGGCCTCATTGCAGACCTCCCTGTCCCAAAGAAAAGGACTCCAGACCAACTCAGGCTCTGGTGTAGGGCTGAGTGGTGGGGCCTCAAGGGCCCGCAGCATGGAGTTGATACAACCCAAAGAGCCAAGCTCGAAGCACATATCTCTCTGCCACGAGCTTCACACTTTGTTTCAGGTTATGTGGTCTGGCAAGTGGGCACTGGTATCGCCATTTGCCATGCTGCACTCGGTGTGGCAGCTGATTCCTGCGTTCAGGGGCTACGCTCAGCAGGACGCTCAGGAGTTCCTGTGCGAGCTGCTGGATAAGGTGCAGCATGAGCTGGAGAGCACAGGCAAGCACACAACCACCAGCGGAGTCCAACAGACACAGAGACGGCTCATCAAGCAGGTTCTCAGTGTGGTCAACACCATCTTTCACGGTCAGCTTCTCAGCCAGGTACGAAACTCTCACACGCACATCTTCTGTCTTTCTTCCCAACAATTACACCACTCACTGTTTGACCTGAATCCTTAAAAATATACATTTCTAGCTCAACATTAAGATATTAAATAATTAAACAGTCTTTCAACACATCAACTTCTAGAATGAATTTATAGTAATAGTTGGATAAAACCTTTATGCTTTTAGGTATATAGTTCTTTTTTATTTTTTGCATACGTTGACCTACATCTGCCTGACTAAACGAAACAAAAAAAATTCTTGGTTTGTTAAAGAGGCAATCGTATAAATCTTGGTCTCCAAATTATAGTCACAACATTTATTATTAGAATTTATTTTAATCAATGTAGAGACAAAAAAACTTATAATATTCAGCAATTTTATATCCTGTAGTAATATAAATATTCTACTTTCACTTCCTCTCTTTGCTAAATTTCATCTGAACGTTTTTTTTTATCAAATTAAAATGTTTTTTTTTAAACACCAAATTTAGTGCCTTTATTAAAATATGGGTGCAGTTAGTTTTTTTTTTTTTTCTATTACCCATCTAATCGAGGATAAGACATTAAATACATCGTGGTGTACAGCAAATACGTTGTGGTTAACCAACTGGTTGTGAGGTGGTGGAATCCTACAAAGCGCTGAAGTGACACTGGTACTGTCCAGCCAGAACAGTGACGTTCAACCTCTTTGCGATTAAAGACACTTGATCTGCTTTTGCATTTTTATTTACCCTGTTAGTCATGCAGGGTTTCTGCAGGAAGGTATTGTAAAGCATTAAATTTGAAACTTGGTGCCATTAAACATTTGTCTGTTTAAAAAAAAAGAGTGATTCTAGAAACTGCTCAGCCAGACTCGCTCATTTGGGTGATTTAATATAGAGTAACATGCAGAACCATTATTAATAGTTTCTGTGTGGTCGGTGCTCAGTTGTCAGAAGAAGATGGGTTCAAGGAAAACCAGGAAAAGTTTAGAAGCAGAAACGAAATGTTTAGCACCACATGACTGCACATAACCTGTTTGTGTCTCAGTTTGATTCACTGATGCTTTGATTGTGCTGCTTTGGTTCTTGAATTAAACTTTATTAACACCAAAAGACAAATATTTGTATGCCCAAGATTGTGTCTCCATTGATCTTTAATTTTTTTTGCTAATGTTCTCTCCTTGAGAGAGTTAGTTTCAAGGATTAATAGTTTTATCAGAAGCATCTGCAACTCTCAATTTTACATTTTACGTTTGTTTTTTTAGCAAAATAAATAAGGTGAGGTGATGATGCATGATCTGTGCCACAATCTGACCCAAGCATTAAACAGATTTATTACAGACAGAATATCGATAATGACACGCAGCAACTTTGTATTGTTTCAAACATTTAACCTCATCAGAAAGAACTGATGAACTACAGAGCCCTTTAAGGACCATGTCAGAAACAAACATTTTACTGCATTATACTTTTGCAATTCTCTTGATTTACCTCTGGCTCTGAAGTAGGGGGGCAAACAGCCACTGTCACGAGATCCAATAGGCTGCTTTCATTTGATGTAATTTAAAGGGTGGATTTTTGCACAAACTGTTGTCTGCACCGCACATGTAAGACACATTCAGTGCTTGGTAGGTGACGTGTGGGGCTGTGATCTACGTCCCCTGTGACACTTAGTGCTCCGATCCAGATTTTAACAGATTGATCAAGTTTCATTTGCTAACTTTCATTTGATGGACGTTATTTGAATTAAACTATATATTAATGACATCTGGCTAAAGGCTCTACACTGTTTCATTTTCACTTGTCCATATTGTTGTACTTTGGATTGGATTGAAGTTTATGTGTTCACTGTCGGAATAAGTTGGCATTAAAAAGCATTAAATTTGATTTGATTGATTTATACAGAAACCCTGTTATAGCTTGCTCTTTTAGTCCTGTTGGTTTAGTTATTTAAATCCAAAATTATGCCATAATACATTTTAAAATTAGTGCAGCCCTAAATCAAGTAAATGAGTGAGGATAGTGAGAGAGTTAACGGGAGGAGAGGGATGATGAATTCCTACTTGTAGAGTCTCATCACACTCTGTGACGCCTGCTCATGTTGAATAAAAGATTGAATGTTTGCGTTGGTTTTGGCTACTCAGCTCTGACAGATTTGGCAGTATTTGCAGTTTCAGGTTTTTATCCCATTTATTTGGTGTTTTGTACTCAAGTAAGTAAGAACAGTTACTTTTTGTTTTTTTCAATCCTAGAATAAAGTGTACATCAGCAGCTTATTACTTTATCCTGGCTTCTGAACTCATACACAGCTTCTTTTGCAGGTGACATGCCTGGCTTGCAACCACCGCTCCAACACTGTGGAGCCTTTCTGGGACCTGTCTCTGGAGTTCCCCGAGCGGTATCACAGTAATAGCAGGGAGTCAGCTGCTCAAGCTTCATGCCATTTGACGGAGATGCTGGCCAAGTTTACAGAAACTGAAGCACTGGAAGGAAATATCTACGCCTGTGATCATTGTAACTGTGAGTGAAATGACAGAACGAACAAAGATTGCTTCAGAGATTGTGGGTTTACCACATTTACAGCTCAGTAATTTTCTTTCTCCTTCGGGTTATGTTATGTTATGTAAGGGGTTATTCTTTTTTTTCTTTTTTTACAGAAACAAAATATTTATTATTAGATTGGAAGATGCAGAAAACTGTTTTAATTTAGGAATTATGGTATTTTATCAAGGCAGTTTTTCAAATGATACTAATACCTTTGCCAGTATTATAGTGTAATAAAACAAAAATCAAAGTTTTTTTCGTATTTATTATCCCGTTCTTGTAACCATTTTAAATCTAAAATAATGAGTGCAATAAATTATATAATGTAAAGGTAAAAACGCTAATCTCACCTTGTGGTTGCAGCTGCCAGACGCAGGACCTCCTCCAAACCCGTCATCCTGACTGAAGCTCAGAAGCAGCTGATGGTCTACAAACTGCCTCAAGTCCTCAGGCTCCACCTTAAACGTTTCAGGTAAGATGACGTGAGTCAGCGTTGAGGGTTGCTGTTGCTCTGACCAGCTCGGCTGACTGTCCATCCTCTGGTTTGTGACCCGCAGGTGGTCTGGGCGGAACCACCGGGAGAAGATCGGAGTCCACGTCAGCTTCGACCAGCTTCTCAACATGGAACCCTACTGCTGCAGAGAATCTTCACCCAAAAGCGTTCCCTGCTCCACTCCCAGCAGCCCTAGCTCCGCAGGCTCGTCACGTCCAAAGCACTTCCTCTATGAGCTCTCTGCTGTGGTGATGCATCATGGGAAGGGCTTTGGCTCTGGCCATTATACTGCTTACTGCTACAACACAGAAGGAGGTAATAATCTGCACTCTTAATGTGTTAATACCTCACAGACAACCTTAAGAATAATCTCAGATTTCTTATCTGATTTACTGTTAAATACTGATAAAGTCATAATAATGGGAGACTTCAATATTCATGTAGATGTTGAAAGTGATAGCTCAAGCATAACTTTTAAAAATTTACTAGAATTAAATGGTTTTAAACGTCCACACATTCTCATTATCACACTCTGGTTCTGACTTATGGCATAGAGATTAAGTACTGTACTTAGTAATAGTTTCTCAAAATCCTGTTCTGTCTGATTATTTTTTAATAACCTTTGAGTTTGCATTAAATTATTACACAGTCACTGAGAGTAAATTTCATTTCAGCAGGTGCTTATCAGAAAACACTGTAACCAAATTTAAACAATCTCTTCCATCAATGTTTTCCTCTGTCTTGCAGAGTAATGCGTCAGAGAACAGTGACTTAGATCATCTGGTTGATAATTATACAACTACTTTGCAAACTTCACTCTATAAAACTGCTTCGCTGAAAAAGAAAGTAATCAATCAGAGGAGATTAACACCTTGGTTTAATTCTGAGTTATGTACTTTAAAACAGACATCTAGAATGCTAGGAAAAAAATGGCGCTCCACTAACATTAAATAATTTTATTTATCTTAGAGAGATGGCCTGCTGACATAAAAAAGCTCTCTGTAAAGCTAGAACTTTATATTATTGCTCTTTAATTGGTGAGAATAAAGATAACCCTAGGTTCCTTTTCAGTACCATAGTTAGTCTAGAGAAAAATCATATCTGTTGAACCATGTATCTACAACTATAAGCAGTGATAAGTTCATGAGATTCTTTATAAATAAAATTATTTCAATTAGGGAGAAAATCCAAACCATCATTCCTAGTATTGCCTCTGGTTCTGTGTCAGATGAGGAAACTTTAAATTGTCACTAGAACCTGATTTATGTTTGGACAGTTTTTGTCCTGTTGAGCTCTCTGAATTGTCAAAAATAATAGCTTCATCCAAACCATCCACATGTCTGCTAGATCCCATCCCAACCAGTCTGTTTAAAGAGTTATTTCCCTTAATTAATATTCACATTTTGGATCTGCTTACCGTATTTTCCGGCAGACACGTCGCACCGCCCTATAAGTCGCATCAGTCCATATTTGTCTAGTAAAGTGGAAAAATCCATAAATATGTCGCTTCGCTGTATAAGTCGCATCTATTATGCATCACCGCTGACAACCTGGAAATATGGGCCGGTGTTGTGCCAAAAATGGATTGGCTGCCAAATGGCGGCTGCGGGATCATGCACGGAAGGACTTTAACAAGAATTTAACAAGATCAACGCTTAAAACAATTGTTTGTTTGCTAGAAATTATAGTAAATGTGTGTATCAATCTAACGTTTGCTTAATAAATGCACTTTGAGAGTCAAATCAGTAGTTTCAAAACCCGATACACTGAAGTAAATGTGTGCATGCGACAAGTCGCTGTACAAAATTTAACAAGATAAACACCTAAACAATTATTTGTTTGCTCGAAATTATATCAAAGGTGTGTCTCAGTGTAACATTTGTTTAATAAATGCACTTTAATGGTCAAATTAGCTGCATTTTGCCGGGGTGGTGCAGCTGTTTTGACGGTTGCAAGCAACGAGCAGACCCAAGGTGGGGAGGCTATGGCAGGCCGATTGAGTCATTAAAAGCTGGTGAAGATTCTTAGTCATCCAGGACATGGTAAATTCAAAAAAGTTCAAGAAAAAAAAAAAACAATAAAGTATAATAAAGTCCAGTTGTTTTTGTCTTGAACTTTTTTGAATTTGTCATTATAGCCACGTTTATCTATTACATGATACAACAGCATGCCATACAAATATTACTACTCTGCTGCCATCAAGTGGCTGAAAGTGGTTTTACTAAAAAATAAATAAAGTCAGAAAGAATGAAAACTGTCATATCTCAGCCAAAAAATGGTTTATAAATATGGGAAAAAATCCATAAATATGTCGCTTGGTCCTTTAAGTTGCAGGGTATGTAAATTATGCAAAAAACTGTGACTTATAGACTGAAAAATACAGTTATTTGTCTCTAATAAATGGTTACGTACCAGAGTGCTTTAAGATTGTTGTAATTAAACCTTTACTTAAGAAACATAACCTTGACTCAGGAATCCTGTCCAATTCTAGACTTGTATCTAATCTAATTTTATCTAAAAAATTCTAGAGAAAATAGTTGCTGGTCAGTTACATGATCATCTTCAAAGAAATAATCTGTTTCAAGAGTTTCAGTCAGGCCAACATTTTTCTGTCAAGTCATCTGGACCGTTTCTTTTTTTTTTTGTGCTGAAAGTTTCACCTTCTATCCAGAAGGCTTCATCAGTCAAGGCAACACACAACACAAAACTGATTCTTCCCCCAAACAGCTTACTCCAAAGTGGAACCAGTTATGTTGGTGCTAAGATGGTGTCTTGGAAGGTGAACCATTTCAGCACAAAAAAAGACACTGTCCAGATGACCTGACTGAACATTGATAGCTTGGTATACATTTTCTTTGTTAAGCTGATGATACACAGTTATACAGTATTTATCAATGAAACCCAATGAATCCAATCAGCTACTTAGACTACAAGCATGTCTTAAAGACATAAAAACCTGGATGACCCTTAATTTTCTCCTGTTGAACACAGACAAAACTGAGGTTTTGGTTTTTGGACCTGAGCACCTTAGGAATGAATTTTTCAGTCTTTCTCCCTCCTTAGATGACATTAATCTATCCTCCAGCTCTAATGTTAAAAATCTTGGTGTTATTTTTGATCAGGACATGTCTTTTATCCCCCACATTAAAATGTTACCAAAACCGCCTTCTTCCACCTGCGTAATATCACTAAAATTAGAAACATCTAAAAAAGATGCAGAAAAACTGGTCCATGCATTTGTCACGTCTAGACTGGACTATTGCAATGATTTATTATCTGGGTGTCCAAATACTTCTTTAAAACGTCTTCAGTTGATCCAAAATGCTGCTGCCAGAGTCTTAACTGGAGTTAGTGGGAGAGATCATATCTCTCCAGTTTTAGCTTCTCTCCATTGGCTCCCTGTCTAATCCAGAATAGAATTCAAAATCTTACTTCTAACCTACAAAGCTCTCAACAACCTAGCTCCATTTTATATTACAGATCTTAGTGTTCCATATTTTCCTAACAGAGCACTTCACTCTCAGACTGCAGGTTTACTTGCAGTCCCTACAGTTTCCAAAAGCAGAATGGGAGGCAGATCTTCCAGTTATCAGGCTCCTCTCTTGTGGAACCAACTTCCAGTTTCTGTCCATGAGGCTGACACATTATCCAGTTTTAAGACTGGGATTAAGTCTTTCCTTTTTGATAAGTCCTATAGTTAGGGTTGGCTTGTTATGCTGTCATAGGCTGAGACTACTGGAGGACAAATTTACCTAATTTCCTTATAATGAATTTTTGCAATTGATTAGTTTTCATTTGAAATTATTTCTATCTTAACGTGTGATTCTCGACCTGCCATTGTGTATCTGTTCCTCCTTCCTGTTCCTCTCAAACCCAGCCGGTTGAAGCAGATGGTCACTTGTCCTGAGCCTGGTTCTGCTAAAGGTTTCTGCTTCATGAGGGAGTTTCTTTTCCACTGTTGCCTTTAGCAGTCTGCACCTTAAATCATTAATGTTAATTAATTAACTTACTTTATATATATATATATATATATATATATATATATATATATATATATATGATTCTGTTCAGTGCCCTGAGATGACTTCTGTTGTGACTTGGCGCTATATAAATAAATTGAATTAATATATCAATGTTATTGCAGCAACGCAGGAGAAAGCCTCCTAAAATCATGTTTATTCTAATTATCCTTCTCCCCCCCCCCTCCAGGATTCTGGGTTCACTGTAATGACTCGAAGCTGAACGTGTGTTCAGTGGACGAGGTCTGCCGAGCTCAGGCCTACATCCTCTTCTACACGCAGCGAGTAACTCAGGACAAAGACCGGCCCCTATAGGACCACAGTCCCCTGGAGCCCCCCTCCTTCACCTTTGCTGCATCCTCACCACTCAACCAGACAACATCAGCACAGCTCAACATAACACTTTATTTTTTAACCGGGGATGATGAGATTTTTGAGTCCGTTTTTGTAAAATTTAAAAAAAAAAAGAGAAAGATCTTTGTAAAATCTGAACTTCTTGTACATGATGTTTATATATGTAGGTATTTTAAAAGGAAATGTTGACGTGATCGATGTACATATGTATTTTATAAAGAGAGTATCAGCCAAGATGTGTCTCAGTAGCAGCCGAGGGACTCTGGCCAGGCGTTCAGCCGTCTGCCCATCTGTGTCCGCCTGTTAGATTGTAAATGCTGTTTGTTTAAATCAGCCGAAATGTTTCTCAGTCACTTTAGATAGCTGACACACAGCTGGATGTAGGTTAACATTCAATCAACAGAAATGGTGTCAGTGTGCTCCAAACGGCTTAGATCATAACAGAGTGGTGACACTTTGGTCTTTTTCCTGCCAGAAATGCACTAATTTCTACAGTTAGCGTTCATGTAAAGGACTGCGTTGGATGGTTTTCAAACTTTTTCCATACAAGCAGGACAGGAAGTTTTGCTTTAAGCTCTAAAGAAGTCCTGGGTCTGAAACTAACCTGCCAAAGCCTTAGAAGAAGAAAGGACTCTAAAAATGGTTTGTTTGCTCAGTTGTTTTGGTTCCTGTCCTCTTTAACTGAGGGTGGATAAGGTTTCCAAAGGGATGAGTTTTAGCTTTGTGTTGTCATCTCTTATTTGAGAACGTAATGGTTTTCAGTGTGAAACATCCCCGACCAGACGTTTCTAGAAAAGTGCCCTTTTATTGACACAGCAAGTCTATTTTTGATAGTTTATAGAAGTGGAATCTGCATTGCTGCAGATCAGCATTTTAATTATGAATGTATTTTTATACAACCCTCAGAGGCTTTACAAACCCGACCATCAACTGTTGAAATGATTATACGAACACTTGTTCTGATTGTGCAACACCACCAGCAGTTTTTAGACTTTACTGTTTCATTTTGTCCCTTTTTGTTTATCAGAAGAGAATCAAAGCACTCCATTGTGATTTTATTCTTTTTCAGAGGTTGTCTTTTTAGCCGTTTGTTTTTTTTTCTCCACGGTTTGTGTGTGTGTGTGTGTGTGTAAATTTTATGGAAGTTATACTATGCAAATTGTTACCTCAAAATGTATTTTTTAGAAAAAATTACCTCAATAAATGAGATTATTTTTTCATTTTTCTACAACGATGTCAGGTTTTCTGTCTTGTCTTTTGGCAAAATTTGTTTTTAAATGTGAAGAGATGTTGACTAAATCACAGCTGATGGAACCAGAATCTGAACCAAATGTCAGTGTGAACTGTCAAATAGTTTAAAGCGTTTATCTTTAACGATGTGTAACATTAGTCATAAACATGGCTCAATAGGTTTGTTTTCGATGGGCAAGTTGTTCTCTCCTGAGTCGGCATGTGCGCTGAACAAGTAAAAAAGTCGGAACGAACCAGTTTTTTTTTCCGGCTTTTTCTTCTTAAACGCTTTATTACCTGAAGGTGCAGATTTTTGTCCACACTGTTACTCAGTTGGTCGTTTTCAGCGATGGACTCTTGCGTTTCCACGACCTCAGCAGAAGACTCAGTTGGCTGTGAAGTCAGACATTCTGGCTTCAATTAAATGGTATGGTATATAGTTTATTCATTTTAAAAAAGTACAAAACAATTCCATAACAATATAAAAACAGGATACAAAATCTGAAGTCTTAGCGATAATTAGGATGAAGATGAAGGCGGCTCTGAAGAATTTTAATTTTAATAAGAGCGGCAGTCCGAGCGGAACTTGCTAATGCCACCGCAGGCCTCAGAGCAGAGTTAGAACAAGTCAAGTTAAGTGTTTCAAAGACTGAGAACGGACTGTCTTTATGCACAGATGAGATAAGAGAATCTATGTGGGGACGGTGGTGGAATTAAAAAAATGAGGTTGATGTGCTGAGAAAACAGCTTGAATCCGTGGAGGGAAATATGAAATGTAACATTAGGATTATTGGAGTTCCAGAATCACCAGGCTCGTGCACCCCTACAGTGATAGCCAAAATGCTAACGGAGGCACTGCAGCTGGGCAAGTCGACGCTGACTGATCACATGTACCTGACACCGAGCAGGAGAGGCTCAGATGATAGTTATCATGGCCAGGCTGTATTATCAGGATTTTACAACGAGCACACAACTGTAGGCCAACTTCAAGGAATCATCCATATTCATCGCAGCTGATTACACCCCAAGCGTAGCGAGGGCACGAGTGGCGCTCAAGGAAGTATGGCAACTCCTGTGGAACCAAGTAGGTGTCCGGTATGGACTGCTTTTTCCTGCACAAGCTTTGTGTTATGCATGGAGGGACGGGCAAAGTGTTTGTTGACTCCGTTAAAACTATGGAATACGTCAAGAACGTCATTCAAGCAACTGTGGCAAGCAATGCCGGCCCAAGCCTCCATGGGGCCCTAAGCAAAATTTGGTTTGATGCCCGCTATTTCTGCTAATAATGTGGACATCTGCAATCAACAGTCACATGATCAGATCATTCAACCACCTTACATAAACTCATTGCAACTCTGACAGCCCTGTTTACATTATCCTATATGTATATATCATCTAGTGCAGGAGTGTCCAACTCTTAAGTTTGCTTATGCCTTGGGCCGGCCCTGGTGGCGAGGATCCAAATAAACCACAGGACCGGCCTCCCTCAACCAATCATTTTTTCTGAAGCTTGTGTCCGACTATATTTGGCTGTAGGTCCTTTAATGGTAGTATGTATAACATGTTTTTGTATTGGAAGGCAAGTGTACAGCGTTAACGCTCTTGATTACTGCAAGTTCAAGTATATAGTACACACCCCCCAATATGGGAGCGTTTTTTTAATATTTATTATCTTTTGTTTGTGTGTGTGTGTGTGTGTGTGTTGGAGGGCAATTCTACAGCATTAATGCTCTGAATTGACTACCGTAAGTTCTGGTATAAAGCACATATCCTAATATAGGTGTTTTTTCCTATCCTAATTTATTTATCTTTTTAGGTATGCATATGATATTTATGATATCTGCATATTCTATTATGTCTTTCTATGTTTTTAATTATGATTATCATATGTGGGCTGACGGGAGCCCAGATGGTTGGATTGTGTTCTCTAGGGTAAGCACTAACGTGTGGATTTTCAGTTGACAGTGGGTTTCGTTCCCTCCATTTTCGGGTAGGAGGGGTGGGTTTATACCAGATCAGTCTTTACGGGCTTTTTTTTCTTTTATCAGGTATTGGCTTGTGATATTCTGTGTAAATTATTTCTTGCTTCCAGTTAATTGTGTAAGCTGTAATGTGAAATTCCTTAATGGTCCAGTAAAATTCTGGAAAATTATGTCACACCTGAAGCAGATGAACTCTGATGTTGCCTTTTTACAGGAGACCCATGTGCACTCTGTAGATAGTACAGAAAATGGAAGATGACAACAATGTAAAAAGGCTATTCAACGCATACGTTTTCGGTCAACAAAGCAGGGGACAACAGAAGAGGTGTATGGACATGATCCAGCGGGATATGAAGACACTATGTCACAACAAACGATACACAAAACAGAGCAAAATGGAGAATAATCCTAGTGGCTGACCCTGCTCCTAAAACACCTACAGTCTGAAAGAGAAACAGAAGCCTTCCATGTCAGTTTTAAACAAAAACCTTAGTGCTCAGTGATTTGTAGATGAATCTCAACTGTAAAATTGACTAATAATTTTGTTTTCTACAGTTAGTTGGGTGTGGAGACCAACTCAAAACACTGAAACTACAAGATTTTAATCCAAACTATTTGAATTAAGACACAAAAGCTTTAATAGGTGATATATTTAAGAAACTATCAAATTAAATGAACATGGCAATGACTGGTATATTTAAATAGAACACAGGAGAAACAATCTAAAATGAGCAAAAATTATTTTAATCATCTTTTTTTTTCTTACAAAAAAAAAACATTTTCAGGGAGCGTTCCAAGTGAAGCGATTTAACAGGGAACAGCAGTGGCCATTTCTGAGATATTTAAAAAAAAATAATTGTTTGGAGGGCCAGGGTGCAGAGTTCACTCCTGTAGAGACAGAAGCCAGACACAGAGCTGCTCAGACTTGTCTATGACCATTTATACCAGTGACCAAACTGGAGAAGTCAGACTGGAGTCATAGAAACTAAAGTCAGATTTCCCACGCTCACCTTCTGTTTAAATACCGAGTTCTCACTGAATTCAGCAACAGCTTTAAAACATCAACTGCTTAACATGTATGTCTTTTCCTTTCCCTACATATGATCCAAAAAACTACCTGTAGTTGATAGAAAACTCTAAAGGCAGCTCTCCTTCCTTAAAACTGCACGGTGCATCGTGGGCGTACTACATAACATTTGTTAATCTTTGCTGCTGTTCTGAACCAACCCCACATTTTAAGAAGCTCTTTTCTGCCGTTTCTCTAACGAGGGCTCGAGATGCATGTGCTGAGGGCAGAAGAGTCAGGTAGAGGGCGGTCAGTAGTCGTCTCCTCGGCTCACCACCTCCTTGCAGGTGGGCCTGAGCAGGATGGTGTGCTCAAACTGAGCAGTGTAGCAGCCTTTGGTGTCACAGAGAGGTGGGTAGGGGTCCACAATGCCCAGGTCGCACAGGTTCTTCAGGGCCATCAGGTACTTGCTCTCGCCAAGGCGGTCCAGCCAGCGGCGGCAGAACGCCAGCGTGCCGAAGTTCTCGTTGATCACGTTGAGCAGATGTTTCGCTCGGGGCAGCCTGGAGGAGGGAAGAAAAGATTTCAACCCAACTGCTACACAAACTGAAATCTTTCCATCTTACGCATCAGAGGTCACAAACTAGAAAACATTTCCTGACCCATTTAAAACCTAATCAAACTTTTTCTGTGTGCGCATCCTTCAAACTGCAGGATGAGGGTGGTCTCACCTGATGGGGACGTGGCCGACATCAAAGTTTTTCATGTAGTGAGAGCACTCCATGTCGTCGTGGACCACACCTTTACCTGTGCTGCCGAACGTCTCGATGGCATAAACCTCTCCCTCCTGCAGAGATTCAAACAGCACCAGCAGAGATGACGGCGTGTGTCTCAAGGAACAGATTATAATTGAACCTGATGGAAACGAGCTGAAGGAAAATGTTGATTCAAGTCACCTCCATTCTTGTTGCTTCCCCTCCTTTAACAATGGGCACCGTCTTCCCAGCGTGTATCCGGTACTGACCAATCGAGTGACCGTTCAGGTTTCTGATTGGCTTTACTGGAACAAAAAAACAGTTTATTATGTGGTGATTAGTAGTGAAGGAGCACATCTACCAGGTCTTACACAGTCCCCCCCAGCAAGTGTAGTCTGTTTTGTTCTTAACAGGAAACAGACGGACGCACAACACCCGAAGTGAGACGAGGGTGAAACGTCTACAAATTGTAAAATCAGGCAGTAACATTAAATATCAATAGAATGGTTTGCATTTTCACCTAAATCCTATAAAAATGTATGAATCTTTCTAATGTCATTTTAACAGTTCAATTATGCCAGTCTGTATAATTATAGATAATTGCGAACCTCATGCTGTTTAATGGACAGTTCCTAAACACTTGTCTAGTTCAGATAATGACTTGTCATGATTCAAACTAAACTAATACAGTATCTGCTTTTCTGCAAGTGGCTGGAGGTGATGTTTGTCATTTCACAGTGACTGGATAATTTGTTTAGACATCACTGACCCTGAAAATATTAATATGTCCAACTTCTTTTTTCTCCTTGTTCTCGACGAAGGCGGACGCTTTTCCTCCCCCTCCTGCTTCTGCTCTTTGTCCTGTGAACCCTTTCAGAGCCTCTCTTTGCACATCTTCTAAAATGTAAATAAAACTCTCCTGGATGTTATGTAAACAAGAAGCTCTGCTCCGCCCCCCTCCTCTATCTGCTTCCTTCCCGAGGACATCTGTGGACCTGTGTCAGAGCTGAGCCGGCTGATACACTGCTCCATCTCTTAGGGACTATCTGGCAGTGTCCTTGGACAAACTCACCGACTTCATCGACCTTCCTCATGCATATAATGCCATCAATATGTTGCCATTTCTGTGCCGAGGTTGTTTTTTTTCTTCTTTTTTTTAAACTTTCACACTGTGAGATATAATTTTTTTTACACCTCCTCTTTCCTCGTGTTTCTCTTTTCTTATCTAAACGAAAAGGGCAGCGCCTCCCATGAGGCCGCGGCCTTAGGACACCTCCGTCTCCCCATGTCTGTTTGTGTTTTACTTGGACGGGCTGTACTGAAATGTATTTTCGTTGTGCTTCGGTGCAATGACAATAAAGCTGCTCCTGATTCCTAATGTTACAGGACTCAAACGACGATCTACTGTTTGCTCCAAAACAGAATGACGTCTGTTAGCAAACCTGCACAAACTAAACTGAGGGGAGCTGAAATGCGACTTCTACTGTAACCACTAGAAAAAGTTCTTCTAATATTGTATGTCCGTGTACAAGCGTGGATTTAAAAGGCACGAAAATGGTCAACACAGATAAGTCTGGAACCTTCTCAAAGAGAAGTAAACAAAATAATGCTATCTACATAATCAGCCAGCTGCCACGAGACAACACAAAGCACTTCCACCTTAAATGCCTGTAAGATTGGCAAGTGTGTGAAATATCACTGCAGCAAAAACAGTTTTGCCAAACTAGTTTTATTATAAATGACAGGTTCCTGCAGGCCTGTAGTTTACTCAACAATAGATATTACCTGCAGTACGGACATGAACACAATGGAAGTAATCAATAAATCTTTTATTCTCACACTGCAAACAGAACAGCAATTTCTCCTCAAGTAACTGCATCGTCTCTGCACAGCACGATGATTTAAGGCAGTGTCGATTCTAACAATCTTACAAACCAAGTTGCTGTCAGGCTTCGTTTACTTACACCCTAATAAATCTCTCGTGATTTAAAATGAATCGTCTGCTCTACACGTGATTTGGTTTGTTTTAATTCCGATGCAGAACAGCACAAAACAAGTCCATTGTTATAAAAACGTAAGACAAACACGCCCGTGCACAGTATCTTCATGCGAGAACGTACCTTGGTAAGTTTTTCCATCCAGCTCCACCTCGTAGGACTCCATCACCTCCTGAATGGCTTCTCCGACATCACACAGGCGCACATCAATGCCGGCGTTCTGCAACAAACCAGCAGGGAAGCGTCAGCTCCAGACTAACAAGATAAACATGATGGGGTGCCTTTGTTCGTGCACGTGTTCCAAGTCCTACTTTGATTCCAGTATTGGTGGCGTCCCTCACAGCCTCCAGCAGCTTGTCATACTTTGGGTTAAATGTGACGGTGAAGGCACAGTCAATGATTCGCCCTGCAGACAGACATCAGAGCACAAGAGAACTTTCTTGAAGGTTTGTCGTTTGATCTTTAGGATGCTGAGCGGAGAATAGATGAAAAGTTAGCAGGATGTGGACTCAGTCCAAGCAGAATCTGCTTTTCGACGAGAGCTGTAATTACACTTTCCTGACAGCAAACGTTCATCACAGATGCCCAGCTGGCCCTAAACACTCCACTCTCAAACCTCAGCAGAAAAATGGAGCTGAAGCAGCACCGAGTCCACAGTTTACCGTTGATGTGAGTGCCGAAGTCGATCTTGCAGACGTCGTCGTACTGCAGGACGGTGGTGTCTCCAGCGTTGGGGGTGTAGTGGGCAGCGCACTGGTTCAGGGAGCAGCCGGTGGGGAAGGCCAGGCCGGCGTTCAGCCCGTTCTCCTTGATCAGCTTACGAGAACAATCCTCCAAACGCTCGCTGAACCAAGGAGAAAAATATAAAATATGAGGAACGAACTGGAAATTGAGCCCTTTTCAGCAGACCAGTTTAGACATCAAACTTTAACAAAGGAGCAAGCTGAGATTTTTTAGTGGACAAATACATTCACATGTACTTTTGAGTTCTGCACTTAAGACAAATAAATGTTTTTTTGATGCAAACTCTCACTGGGACTAATAAAAACAACATTTATATAACACATAGCATGTATCCAAGAGTGAGAAGCTCTGCACTCCAGTTTGTAAACTTCTGGTACGACACGGCCAGTTCCATCAGTCAGGCATGAAATACAAGCTGAACTTTTGTTCACAGGTAAAGATTATCTCTAAAAGTCCGGTGACTTTAAGATTCCTGATGCTCGCTCATAACAAGCCTCCCTGGTTCATAGAAAACACCTAGATTTAAACAAGTAATAAGAGCAATTCAATAATCTATATTTACAAAATATTTTGTTGTCATTTAGCAAGAAATTATATTAATATCAAATATAATTAGATCCAAAGTGAATAATAATTAACGGTTTTGAATCAAAAAACAGCAAAAACAATTAAAAGTTAGCATAAAAATGGACAATTATGTCAAAAAAGGTCTGCCATTACAAACTTACAGCACCGTTTAAAAACCTCCGGTCCATCAAACATTAAGAATGATGCAGATGAAGCAGGTTGTAAAAATGACAGCATCCTCACCAGATTTCGATCATGGTCAGGCCTGGTTTGAGGAAGCTGCGAACATGTTTGCGGACTTGTCTGTGGGCCTCGGCTGCCTGCCTGAAGTCGCTCCACACCTCTTCGTTGGCTTTATCCAGCACCCGCTTCTCCTCGTTGGTCATACGCCACGCCGCGCTCCGACTGGGAAGCAACAACAGGCATTGTTAAAGAAGACGGATGACAACGGCGCAGTCAACGAACTCCCCGAGTCCTCGTCAAGCTGTGAATTAACGAGCTCAGATGCCCGTCTCTGTTCAACTTTAACGCCGTTTAATTGTTTAAAGTCAATTCTATCATTTGCAATTCAAATTCAGGCCTAAGTGTAAATTTTCAATGCAAATAACACCACCAGTAAAAAGCTGAACATAAAGACCAGCTTCTCTCTGAAGAGATTGTATGATTTGGAGTAAACGCAGGATGGATTCCTCTGTTGCTTCACTAATTTTGAGTTTAAACAGTTGAACATCAGCAATGAGCTGATTTGTTTAGGGAGTTATAATAAGCAGCTCTGATTGGACGAGATGAAAACATTTCCCTCTTGATCCTGAAGTGAAAAGAAAGTCAATGAGCGATAAATTACTGGTTCTGCTGCGAGCTGTAACCAACAAATCCACCCCCACCCCAAAAAACAAAGAGTAGTATACTGTGGAGGACCGTAGTAAAATACACCATATACTGTGTACATGACCTTAGTAAAAGTACATAGTATAGTGTTTTCTAATGAAGAGCTATTTAGATCAACATGATTCAGAGAGAGGTTTGAAACAACTTTCTGTAGTTTAAGTCGTCTTTATTTATAAAGCACATTTAAAACAGCAGCTGTTCCCAAAGTGCTTAACAATGCGAGTAATTTAACGGAAATAAAAATAATGACCGTACTGAAAAATTAATTAAAAGCATCCGAAGAAAAACAATAAAACACTAAATGAAATCACACTGTTAAAAGCCAGAGAAGATTGAAAAAGCAGGAAATGAAGTGGCCTGTCTACCTGTTAATCACAGATTAAATCAGTGATCACGTTGTATTGTCTAATGTGGGGGGGGGGGGGCAGATTGGATCACAAACACCTGAGAAGAACCAATAAGACGATGGTTTAACATCCACCAGTTTGCTGACGTCGTCATGAAGTGGAAGAGGATTCCAGTGGTAACACTCTGGTGAACTCCCTGCACTAGTTAAGGCAGGGCTGGAAAATAATAGTGGCCACACAAAATAGTGACACTTAGGCACAATTTGGGCATTTTCACTTCACTTACAGGTGTACTCACTTTTGTTGCCAGTGGTTTCGACATTAATGGCTGCGAGTTGAGTTATTTTGAGGGGACAGACGATTTACAAGCTGTAAACTGACTACACTGTATCAAAGTGTCATTTCTTCATTGTTGTCCCATGAAAATATAGATTTACAAAAATGTGAGGGGTGTACTCACTTTGTGAGCTAATGTACGTTTACATGTCATCTTCTTTGGTTAGGGTAGCGGGGTGTCCTCCTTGAAAAACAGCCCAGTAAACACTGACTGGTACTCTCACCAGTAGTTTATCTCTAAGTTGGGAACACCGCGCACACCCGCCCTGTATCCGACGGTACGACCCGAGCTGCTCTGATTGGATCAAACTGTGGCTCTGGTTCTCTTTATTTGTTGACAACAGTGCCAGTTTAATCCCTGGATCATCATTAGACTGGATGTCTTTAACAAGACCACAACAAAATGCATGGTTTTTCCCCCCCTTTTCATTTTTAGATGACAGAAATCTGTTAACCCTATGTCGTCTGGGTGTCCATCAGTTATCAGAGATGCAAATGGGTTTTCTCAGACAAATGGAAACCGCTTTTGTTGACCGCTGGTTATACAAAACAAAAAAAAAATGCAAAAGAACATTAGAAATAAAAATATATTATCAAATCTGCTCCACTTACCCATCCTGAGAGACGGGGTATTCACACTCCTGTCCAATGGGAAACACACCACTTGGGTATAGCTCACAGATGGGAACAGATGGGGGGTCAGTTTGCGTCTTGGCTGAAAGATTTACACAAAATTAAATAAAAGAAAACTCTTAGCAAGACACTTATCGGGAAAGGGTCAAAACACCAATAAAAAGACACAGAAACTTTTATTTTACGACTTAAATCTTCAACTAATCAAAACATTTCTCAGCTTACATCCTTTCTTCTTCTTTTTCTTCTTCTTTTTCTTTCCTGCAGCATTTTCACCATCATCTCCATCTGTGTGAGCGAAGATGCAGCCGTTACACCAGCTCAGTGGAAACGTGTAAATACGATGCACGGTGTCACAGCAAACTGTTAAATGTTTGCGCATTAAAAAGGTCAAGATATTTACCTTCCTCGCCATCCTCCTCCTTCTCTTTGTCTTCAATCACCTGCTTCTCCAGCTGTTTGGTTACTTCCACCACTCCATCTGCCTCCGTCTCAACAGCTGCAGCAGCAAGCACATGTAAACAGTTCAATCACTAACAAACAGGCAGCAGATGCTTACGAGTTGGTTGAGTCATTTAGTCAATAAGACATTTTAAAAATCAGCCTTCCAACACACTTCAATTTACCATCTTCGCATCAAAACTTTGGGTTTAAAAGGCATGTTTTTCCCCTTAAAATATACTAAATCAATGACAGCCATACCACCTCACAAACAATAAAAAGATTGTAAAATCTTCTGCAGAGTTTAAATATTTAAATGCTGTATTGCAGAAATTCAATTATTTACCAGGATCTATTTCCAACGTGGTTACAGAGGAGTTTTTACTGGTTCTAGCAATAAAGGTAGAGTTTTCCTAAAGACGAAGAGCTTTATCTTGCTCTGAAATATGCACCAACAGTGAGTAAAGATGTAAATAAATAAATAAAAAAAAATAAAGGTGTGCTAATCTGGTAAGTCAATGTGAAGTACACCACGTTTCTCAGTTCCTAGTAAAATACGAAAAAGCTTGGACAAGAAGCACGCAGTAGTCATCGGTGAAGCAATGATCCTTGCAAAACCTGTCTTGTACTTTATAAACTGAAAAGAAAAAACACGTTTAGTGAAACTCCAGCCTCAAACTGCCTGGACCTTCCCCAAAAATCTACATGTAATCAAACAATTTTCTAAGTGAAAATTAAAAAGTAACAGCTCAGCTTTTATGAGAAAACTGCAGATTATCTGTGAAGTGTCCTCTAATTACTACTTTATTGATTTATCTCTGTAAAACAACTGAATTACTTCTGACAACATTAGTAATGCTTGATGGGAATAAAAGAAAGCAAACGAGACAAGAGGAGTATGAAGCTTATGTTGGCAGATTATTATTTAAATCAATGTTTTGGTTTGGTTTATATTACATAAATACTTCTGGGAGAAGGGGGATTTTGACACAGGAAATCTTGGCACAGCACAACAGAAAACAGCTAGGTCAAAAAGGTGCTGCTAGTTCACATGAATGCCTCGTTAAAACTCAAAATCAGGACTAAAAACATCTTAAATACGAACAAGTATAAATGTCACTGGTCTTGGATAAGGTTCTGGCCCGATCCCGGTGTGTTTCTGAGGCCTGACAGGTCCCAAAACGAGCTAAAGTACTTGGTTCAAACGCGCATGGAGCAGCGCCAAGTTACAACTGTTTTACAACTTCACTTCCGCCGATAATTTCAAAATAAATTACAAAACACAAACGCAGACATAAACAACTTTATGACTGCCTAACCTTCGTAACCTTTTTATATTACAAAACCTTAGCTTATGTTATTGCATTCGGCGAAATATTGTTCTAAATTCTTGATATCGAGTCTTCTGTATTTGCCAGATTGGTACTAAAAACGGTGCTGGACCCGCTTGAAAACTGAGAAGTAGCTATATAATTAGCATTGCACTATATATCTTTAAAAAAAACAAATTAATTTTTTTTTCACATTTCACACCAGGCGTTTTATATTTTAGTCAAGACTACAGTTGAAATGGGACGAAAAAATATTCGACGCTATTAATTTGACAGCCACATTAACGTATTTCCGGTTTTGATTATGCTAGCAACCGCTACTTTGACGCAGCTATAATAAGCAACATTAGCTGCGTTAGCCAGTTAGCATGAATTCGGCCCAGCATTGCTCACCTGTCGTCGCAGATTTGCCCTTCTTTTTCTTCTTCTTCTTCTTTTTCGCTGCCTCTTCGACTGGGTCGGCCTCTTCCCTGATCTCGGCCTCCCCGTTTAGCTCACGGTCCTGGACTAGTTTCAGGTTCTGTTCCGCAAGAACGTCCGTCATGATTGCGGGCGCTGCTGGAAAAGGAAGAGAGACGGACTGCGGGGCTGCTGTTTGGGATGTTGCCTTCACTGACACTTCGTATTTTACAAAATTTTCGTTTTTTTCCCCCCCTCTCATTTACATAAATTAACATTTGTGTATGAATTGCATTTCACGACGCAGTAGTGACTTGAACAGCATCTTCTTTGCAATAATGTGTCGTGCAAATGTATATTATTTTTTAATCTACCACAGTGGTTTGCTTACATTAATTCTTCAAAAACAAGTTTTTAAAAATACGAGCCTAATATGTGTACCAGAACGCCTCACAAGGTCAAACTTGCAGATTCAGCAGAGGGTTTTAAATAAGATAAAAACGTTGTTCAATAAAATGTGTTAGGAGCAAATTGATAAAAGCCATTCAAAATGAGCGTTTTATTATTATTGTCATTTAATTTGGCGCCCAGGAAGCAAAATGTAAATAAGGGGTTGTTGTCCTGGACTTTTGTACAGCAATTTGATACCTTTGTACACAAATAGTAATATTTTATACAGTCTCTAATGTTTCATAATAGAAAATGTGTTTTTGCCACAAGTGCCAGTAGCAGTGACATAAATCACCACTAGGTGGCAAAGCCATTACACATACAAACCCTTTAAAAACAAACATTTTGTTGGTTTATGACAAGTTTTGAACTTTTACAAATAGGTTCTAAAAAAAATAAGAGTATTGATTTCATTGGGAGATAGCTTAAAGCACCTTTACTTTAAAAATTAATTGAAAAATATTTGTAAAAGAAAATTATCAGTTCAATTTAGCCATTTAAAAAAATATTTTCTAGAGAGGGGCAGCAGCTGTCGTGGATCCAACAAAGGCAAAATCCAACAAAACGTATCGAATAACCGAGTAAACCCGTTCCTTCGCCCTGTTTTGTGAGACATAACAAAAGACGCCATTAAACACTTCCAGAGTGGTTCTTTATTTCAATGTGTGAACTGCAGAAAGGGTCAGGACAAAGTGACTGCTCTTTTCAAGTTAAACACAGCCCGCAGATATCTGTGTTTATTCCCAAACCTCTGAATGTTTTTAACTTCTAAGTTAATTACATTCACATCAAACTATTCAAACCCTGACATTTCCGCTGTGTACCCCTGTAAACACTGACAGTGTTCTTTAGTGTACATGTATTCCAAATACGTCACTAAATAACATTATGAGTTGAGGTTCTGCTAGGAGTTTCAGGGACAGATGCAGAAAAAGGAGGTTGGACAAAAATAGAGCGATGAGTTAAAAAAAATATATATAGCACAACTCCTCTTCCTGCAGCGCTCCTGCTCTTGTGCACCTTTAATAAATCAGCCGAACTCTGCTCAGACTTATTCAAATAGATTGTTTTGGTGATTTCACTGCAGAACATTTTGTTTATTCAGCCACAAACATGCAAATTGTAGTACATTTACTTCAAGTTCTTGCACTGGATCTTTTATTAGTGTAATTTTCATTAACAGTCTGTACTGTAAACAGTTTCCCGCTGATAATTTCTTGATTGCTTACCACTTTTTTGTTACGTTAAGTTAACGAGCTTCTAGAATGTGAAGGGAATTCTGGTTATCTTTATTTAAAACTACTCTACTCTTGTAACAGTAAAAAGTAGAAAAGGCAGAAAATCACAAGTTTTGTTCAATTTAAATTTATGTAGATCCTGAAACATGTTTGTAGTGGATAACCCAAAAGATCCAGCAGTGAAATTAATATTTCTAATCAGGGAACACTTTGTTTCCACTCCTTACAGTAACTCAAGACGGTAGCGTTTTCTTCACACTTATCAATAATTTTTAAAAAGATGTCATGAAGATGAAAAATTACACATTTCTTTTCATTTACAGAAAAACTGTATTTGAATAATGCGAGGAACATTCTGCTACTTGAGCCTCAACACTGTGAGGCTCGGCGTTGTGTTAGTGGTTCTGGTACCTGAGTTTAAACAGGAAGAATTGTAGGTGACGAACAGATTCACGGATGGACCGGGTCGTTTTAAAAACTTCCACATGAGAGGCAGATCAGAAGGAGCACAGACCCATCGAGACAAGACGGACTTAAATAATGTCTCTGCTCAACTAAATCAGTCGGGTTTATTGTTTAGTCCTTCTCTGAGGTCCTTCTGTTGATCTCCTCCTCATCATCATCATCATCTCCGAATATCTGCTCCTCCATGTTGATGAGTGCGTGCGAGCGTGCGGCCACCTGAGCGGCGAGGGCGGAGCTGAAGCTGAGAGTCTCAGAGCCGTGGATCTCTGTCAGCCTGTCCATCACAGAGACGTGGGGGACTTTGGGTTCCAGGAAGCAGTCCAGACCGTTCTGACCCTCCCCGTCGTCTTCCTCATCCGTGACGCCGTCGTACTGATGCAGCTCCGATGCTCCGCCTCCTCCTCTGCTGCACACCGAGGCTCCTCCCAGCTCCCTTTCCTCTGAGCCACAGCTGAACTCCGTCACAGGGTCTGCAGAGGGGTCAGGCCTCACCCTGTCATCTTTTCCTTCCCCTTCCTCCCCTCTGCTTCCTGCAGAGCGTTCTGATAGGTAGTTTCCTTCCTTATCACCAGATTCTGCAGAACCCACTGGACTTGGACCGCCTGGTGGGTCTGCAGCAGAACCACGACTGAGAACTGAAGGCGATGCAGCAGCTGTAAGAGAGGCAGGAAAGCAGCACTTACATTTCTGACCTCGTTTTCTAAATGCAATAAGAACACGTTAATAATATTAGTTTTGTTTTCCTTCAGGCTAACAGACGTTTAGAGGACAGCCTTAAAAAGTCACAGTGGAAACAAACGGCTGAATGAAGCCGGACCAGGTCTGGCTTCAAACACAATGTGCACAAAGCCAGAAAAACCTGTTTATCATCCACATCAGTGCTGCCCAGCAACAGCAAACTTGAACTTTTTTTATATTAACGAGACAACACATTTCTTACTTTCAACCACATTGTTGTGGATTTTCTAACAAAAGCATCGGAAAATAATTTCATAGCATGCAAGTTCCCAGTTTCTCTCATACTTTACAAATTAAAGTTGTTTTAAATACTACAAAAATGAGTTACAACTAGTGCTGAATGACTTCTGATAATGAAAACTGTGTTGTTAAAACAGAACGCTAGCTAGAAGCTAAAAAATATGCAATTCAATTCAATTCAGTTTATTTATATAGCGCCAAATCACAACAAAGTTGTCTCAGGGCACTTTACAGAAACATCCACAAACATAAAAGCCAATTAGTAAAGTTCTCTATCCAAGGAATCCAGCAGACAAGTTGAATCTTGGCTTCGTTGCAGTCTCCCATCCTGAGCAAGCACAGTGGCAACAGTGGAAAGGAAAATCTCGCTTTTAAAAGGAAGAAACCTCCAGCAGAACCAGGCTCAGGACAAGCGGCCATCTGCTTTGACCGGTTAAGACTCTGGCAGCAGCATTTTGGATCAGCTGAAGATGTTTGAAAGAAGTATTTGGACATCCAGATAATAAACCATTGCAATAGTCCAGTCTAGACGTGACAAATGCATGGACCAGTTTTTCTGCGTCATTTTTAGATGTTTCTAATTTTAGTGATGTTACGCAGGTGGAAGAAGGCAGTTCTAGTAACGTTTTTAATGTGGGGGGTAAAAGACATGTCCTGATCAAAAATAACACCAATATTTTTAACATTAGAGCTGGAGGACAGATTAATGCCATCTAAGGAGGGAGAAAGACTGAATAATTCATTCCTAAGGTGCTCAGGTCCAAAAACCAAAACCTCAGTTTTGTCTGTGTTCAACAGGAGAAAATTAAGGGTCATCCAGGTTTTTATGTCTTTAAGACATGCTTGTAGTCTAAGTAGCTGATTGGATTCAATGGGTTTAATGGACAAAGATAATTGTGTGTCATCAGCATAACAATGAAAATTTATCCCATGCTGTTTAATAACTTTACCTAATGGAAGCATATATAAAGTAAAGAGTATTGGCCCAAGCACTGAGCCCTGAGGAACTCCATGACTAACTTTGGTGTATGAAGAAGATTAATTATTTACATTTACAAACTGGAATCTATCAGATAGATATGATTTAAACCATTTTACAGCTGTTCCTGTAATCCCAATACCATATTCAAGCCTCTGTAGTAAAATATTGTGATCAACTGTATCAAATGCAGCACTGAGGTCTAACAGGACCAGTATAGACACTAGTCCATTGTCTGAGGCCATGAGAATATCATTAGTGACTTTTACTAGTGCTGTTTCTGTGCTATGAGCTCTAAACCCTGATTGAAACTCTTCAAACAGATTATTTCTTTGTAGATGTTCACGCAACTGACCTGCAACTATTTTCTCTAGAATTTTTGAGATGAAAGCTAGATTAGATATAGGTCTATAGTTGGCCAGGATTTCTGAATCAAGGTCAGACTTCTTAAGTAAAGGTTTAATTACAGCAACCTTAAACTCTGTGGTACATAACCATTCATTAAATACAAATTAAGTAGATCCAAAATGCAAAAGGCTAGCTTAAAACTAAAGCAGAAAAAGGCTAGCTAAAAGCAGTGAAAGCCTAACTAAAAGTAATAAAACGCTAACTAAAAGCTAAAACATGTAAAACATTGGCTACAAGCAAAAGATAGCTAAAATAGAAATGACTATCTAGAACCCAAGAGAAGCAAAATGTGAGCTAAAAGGTACAAAACATCTAAAAGCTAGCTAAAAGATGCGAAAAACTAGCTAGAAGGTAAGGAAAATGATAGCTGAAAGTTAAAAGTAGCAAAAGGCTAGCTTAAAGTCGCAGAATGGTAGCTAAAAACTAAAAGCAGCTTAAGAATACAAAAACAGAGCAAGCACTGTTTCACAGATTATGTTTCTATGAGAATTATTGCCGATGTATTTTGGAAAAATTATTTTGTACAGTAAATCATGAATATTTAAAAAAGTATAAAAGCTACAAGCAACAAAATTCATAGCTCTCATGAATGAGCTGATCGTTTTGATAAATGGCAAAAAAAACTGTGAAATATGAGTCAGCATTTAAAAAGAAATAGTTAAGTAAACAAGTGGAATAAAACAAAAAAAATGAGGCCTTGTTTGTTTTAGGACACCTGCTTTATGGATTAAAGGTCGTTCTTTTATAAACCTAATCAAATATATTATTTCAATTTAAACAAACAGAAAACCCAATGACACTTCATAACTCTGCTGTGCACGGGTTAACCCTAACGATGCACAGATTGTTCTGAACGGTCATCCTGAGTCTGACGCTTCGGTTTAAATCTGCCTCATTCCAAGAATAACTCCGGTGCAGACCTTGGTCGCTGAACAGCAGCTGCTTCCTCTTCATCCTCTCCCCTTCGGAAGCGCGGAAACCCAGAACGGCTTTCAGCTCCGACAGGACGCGGCGAGACTCCTCCCTCTCCCTCCGCTGCCGTTCCCGCTCCTCTGGAGACAGCATGTCGAACCACGAGTCCCTGCCTTCCCCGTCAGAGTCCGAGTCAGACACGTAGGCCTCCAACTCCTGGTTGGATCAGAAAGTGGGACAAAATCTTTTGATCTAGCCAAACGTTTGAGGCAAACACGCAAAAAGGTCTGATCTTACCATCTCATCTGGCACAGGGTCTCTGTCGAGGATCAGGGGGTAGGACGGTGGAGGAGCTTCAGGAAGAGCAGGGCCACACTGCTCCACACCATCCTTACCTGCAGAGACGTAGCACGGTGAGCTAACAAACAGACGCATCAACCATTTGAAGCCTGGTCAGTCAGTGCAAGTCACTACAGCTGTGCTGGTTTTGGCCCTGCTCACGTGGACAGCCGTTGGCCCGTCTGAGCATGCGCTCCACCTGGTTGACGGTGTCCTCCCAGCAGCCCGTGCTGGCCTGCATGTGTGGCTGGAGCTGCTGCAGCCGCTCGTTCAAGTCCCGATACCCTTCCAATGTCAGCTCCGTCAGGTCCTTGGACACCATCAGCTTCTCCAGATCATCCTCAAAGATGATCATCCTGTTCATATAAGAAGACGAAATGCTCTTTAGAGTGAAAATATAAAAATGAACACATTAACCAAGCAAATCTTGGTTAATGTTTCAACATTTACACTGCTAGCAGCTTTGCTAGTTGGGTGAGGCAGCTCGTTTGGTCCTAAAGAGGGTGCGGAGTGGATCAGGATGTCTGTGTTTGCATGTATCTCACTCGCTGAGCAGGGCCTTGAGGTGCAGCTGCAGGCTCCGGATGGACGTGTGCAGGGCGTTGAGCTCTTGGCATTTCTCCCTCGCTCGTCCGGTCCGGTCAGAGCTCATCATCCTCGGCTGCATCTCGAAGTGTCGGTGGAAGTCGTAGCTGCGCTGCACCTCTGTAAGACAGGCGGAAAGAGCGCGATGGAGGGGCTCGGTGACGGCAGCGCTGGACCAGTGCAGAGGAGGAGGTGGTGGAGGAGAGGAAGCTTCTCCTTTGGGTCTGCCTTCCTCGGACTCCTCGATTCGGTGGGGAGACAGAAGGAGAGCCAGCCGACGAAAACATTCAGAACTTTGTCCCAACCACAGCTGGAACAGCATCTGTAAGACAACAAGTTGGTCAAGTTTAAAACTAAAAGTCTTCCGTACTTTCGTCTGTCGCTTTTACTGCATTTCTGTACCAAACTAAATAAATACAAAGGTGAACAAGAAAAACAAGTTTTGTTTTTGAGTTAATGCTGAACGACTCTTTCTTCAACAAATTTCAACAATGTGAACTAAGTTAGGCTAAGCCAAACTGAAGCTAAAATTAGCATTAGTTAGGCTAATTTTAGCTATTTTGCTCTCTTTAGTTTAAACTTTTACATTAATATAAGTAGCTAAAACCCAAAAGCAGAAAGGTAGCTATAAGTTAAAATTAGCAAAACAGTAGCTAAAAGTTAAAACTAGCCATACTGCAGATAAGGTAAAATATGCAAAACACCATCTGAAAGTTAAAATTAGCAAAACTGTAGCTAAATGCTATAATGAGCAAAACTATAGATAAAGCTAAAACTGGCAAGTGCAGCTAATTTAGATAAGCCCTAAATGCTAAACCCTTTAAGTCTGACCTTGAGGGCTGGCAGGCTGTAGTCGTCAGTCAGCTCCTGGGCCTGCTCGTCACCCAGGTGCTCGACTCCCAGACCGAGCCCCAGATCCTTCAGTGGCACCGCACACACGTAGTTGGTCACGTTGTCAATCTCAGAGTTCAGAGGGAACGTTAGGAGGAGTTAAAGACAATTAACACAAAAACAACATGTGCACCTAAAATCAAGATCAATGCTCTTTAGTCTGTTCGTTTATATTAAAGTTTATAATAATTTCTCATATTTTAGAAGCATGCGACTTTAAAGCATCAGCTCTGACTCTCATTAGAAGATTTAGGGAATTTCAGCTTCCTTTTAATCCAGGAGCTTGATAACAGCTGTTCACGTTAAAGATAAAACTGAAATCTCATTTCCCTTCAACATTTCATATTTGAATGGTTTATTTATGATGTTAGGTAGTAGCGAACATTTTTCAGTGTAAAAAAAAAAAAAATCACAGGTTAATGTGGCTAAAAGCTTTAAAAGGTCAAAAATCGTGTGTATAAAAAGCACTAAAGATTTACACGAGTTACTATTGTCTTTTTCTGGTAAAGGATATGCTTTGAGCATGTGGCAGGTGGCCCTCCGTGAGGCTCTGAAGGCTGTGCGGAGCGCCCGGTACAGGACCTTTCTCAGTCCGATCAGCTGCTGGCTGCGTGGCACTGCCCCCGGCCCCGCCCTGCTAAAGGAGCTGGCCGCACTCACCCTGTCGAGCAAACTTGACAAGTGAAATGTGATTCAACTGTGGAGACGTCCTGAAGAGGCAGGGGGGCACACACAACACTGATAACCACAACAGACACGACGACACGCGGAGACGAAACACGCAGATGTGACAACTAAAGGTACAATAAACAGCTGGAAACAACAATAAACAGCTGGAAACAACAGCTTCTGAGCTTAGCTTTAAAAGAAGAGTAAACAGAACCTGGATCTACTCAAAGATAACACCAGCTAATCAGAACTTTTGATTTCAACTTTAAAGAAAGATAAACAAAGGTGGAAGGTAGTAAACTCTTATAAACTATCTATCGTGGCTTTCTTTCTAGATGCGAGTGACTGAGGAAATTCCTCTAGAATTTAGTAAATTGACGTAAATTAATTTTAACTGTTCTAATCAAACAACATTATTTATTTATTGGCCATTGGCTGTCCTGATTTCTAAATATTGATATGAGTCATTGAAAAACCCTAATAGGCCAACCTCTATTTATATTTACCATAAAACACAACGGTTCCATCAATGTTCTCATCTTAAAAACAATGAAAATTATTTCCTATGACTTTATATACGTTTGTTATGTGAATGTTAAAGCAGCATTTACACCACTGTTTAACTTTTTTTTTTAATTTCCTGTATGTTTATCATAATCCAACTACTTTTGACTAGGATACATTTTTCTTGGTACCACTCATATATCCATCCATCCATCCATCCATCCATCCATCAATTATCTTTACCAGCTTATTCCATTTTGGGTCACGGGGGTCACTGGTGCCCATGTCCAGCAATCAATGTGCGAGGGGCGGGGTACGCCCTGGACGGGTCGCAAGTCCATCACAGGGCCGCTCATATACAAAAACATTTAAATTGTTCAGGAGATGAGTGCTATGACTGCTAGGTTTTGTAACTTTTATACCTTTTTTTAAAATATTGTCCTTTTTTCTTTTACAAATATGCTTCCATTGAAATACATGGAGATACTGTCAATTCCTTAAAAAAAAAAGTTCTCTATGAAATCTGCTTAAGGAAACTTGTCATTTTTGTCTTCTTTAGCCATCATTCTGCTACTTTTAGTATATTGCTACATTAAACCCTTAGTTAGCCTTTTGCTACATTTAGCCGACCTTTAGCTACATTGAAGCTAAATTTGAGTGCTTTTAGCTAGGTTTTTTTTTTTTTTTTTTTTTTTACCAGGCGAGTCTCACTGAGACCACAGATCTCTTTTGCGAAGTCCTAGGCCTGAAGGCAAACTGCTGCATATGTATGTTTACTCCTTTTACCTTTTAGTTCGCCTTTAGCTACTTTTAGTAAGCAGTGTGCTACTTTAGAGTTCTAGCTAGCATTTGACATATTTTAGCTTTTAGCAAGTGTTCTGCCTCTTAACTTTAACTCAGTTTTAGCTTCTTCCATAGCCATTTATTTGCATGTCTATTTTTAGCTACATTGTACTTCTCAGAAAACACAATTTTGTCAGTTTTCAGTTGATTTATGTTCACTTCTGCGTGCACAACACTTTACAACAGTCTGCCAAAGATTGCAGCTGCTTTAAATATGTAATAAAACGTCTATTGATAGATTCACTGCCAGTAAAACAAGTGGATAAACAATTTGAACGCTGTTAACAGTTAAGTGAAATGAGCACACTTACAGGGTGAAGCCTCTGGAGATGACCTCGGTCTCCTGCACCAGACGCAGGGCTTTACGAGTCAGTCCTGTCAGAGTCTTGCTGTTGTGGACCAGAGCCTGGAGCTGCGTGGCCCTGGTGTGGACGTCAGTCTGCATTCGACCCCGTCTCCACAGCGTGACCCCCCTCAGTCCCAACCAGCCCAGAAGGACTAGACCCCACGGAGCTGCGGCCACAGACCACAGGCTTTCAGGTGAGGAGCAGAGACCCAGCAGCACTGCAGTCAGACCCACCAGCCCTGCAACATCCCTGAAACACGACAAAAGGAGTTTGTCAACTTTTTTTAATTTTATTTCAACACAAAGACGAGGACAGTTGGTTATTTCTTCTGCCGCCTGCTCAGGATGGAGAATAGAGCTGCTGCTTTCGCATTTCGTTAGTGAATCTGACTGTAGTGTAACCGAACTGAACAGACTGTGATTAGATATGAATCTGGAACTTGTGGACTGAATTGGATCACACATTATTTATGATTTGTACTTGTCACTTTTAATAAAATAATTAATATAAAACACATTGAATGGCTTGTTCCTTCTTCAGTACTCATGCCACTTATTGTGCATCTGTATGAGTACTTGTGAAAAATAGCATACCATAAGGACGGCTTGGCAACGAGGCTCGGTCTGGGCAGGGTACTCGCTCGGCTGGGGGAGCCAGAGGGCGACGAGCTGAGGGTAAGCACGCTCGGATCTAGCAGCTCAATCAGCTCCACATCCTCCTGCAGGAGCACGTCCTGGTCCAGGATGCATCTGACCGAGTACTGTCCAAAAACAATGTCCTGTGTGGCAACAAAGAATAAAACGATGCGACGCCTTTTACAATAAAACCTGACGTCTGGTTCTAACACCAGCGGTCCTCCACCTACCAGCTGCTGCTCCAGCTTATGAGCTTCAGCTGCCTGATGAAGAGGGCTCCAGGTCCACAAAGCCTCAACCAGTCTCCAAAACCGCGCCCCCTGTAAGTTACAGAGAAATTACTCCACTGACAAATAAATATATTCATTTCAACTTGACAAATTACTTTTCATGTACGCAAATCAAACTGAAATGCCTTCCTAACGCAAGAGCTCACGTCTTTTAATAAATTGGATCCAATTCCTCCAAAAACAAGAGCACAAACTCACTCGTGCTTAAAAAGGAGTAGCCCAGGAGACACAGGCTTTCAGGCAACAACAAAGTGTGCAATGTGTAAGGAACTCACCACCCAGGTCTTATATACCCCCACCTTTGTTGTGCAAATTGCACACACTTTGCTCAGTTCTTGCTGTGAGTTCGACTTTCTGAGCTTCCAAAACATTTTGGACACCTACCACTGATTTACACACAGCTCACTTGGATGAGAGTGACCAAAACGCTATAGCAATCCAAAAGTGTTGTGAGCTTCGTGTTGACAGAACAAAAAGCGAAAACTGAGGAAAATGTGGGCTCCCTGCATCTGATACCGTCATTGCAAGATTCAACAAGTAAAAGGCCTAGCATTCTTTAAAGGAATATACTCCAGAGTTTTAAAAGAAGATAATTTCATGTAAAAAATTATGTTGTAGCTGCTTTGGTCAAGCCTTGTAATGTGTGATCTCATACAGAGCACAGAATGTGCTGAAGATGATTCTCAGGTACAACCACAACACATTTTCACTCTAAATCTGTAAAACTGGTCGAGTTGTAGCCATTTTTCGAAGGACCGTTAATCCCATCTTCGGTGCTTGTGGTCACTTTTCTTTTACAGGAACCTACGTAAATGACTGAATGCATAAGAAAACCCGGACTTGTTCAAACGCTGCCAGATTTAATCGCAGAAACGCGGAGAAGGCTAACAGAATAATGCCTAATTGTGAACAGGATTTATTTGACTCTAATCTGTTTACACTGTTTCATAGCTTCTGTGAAATGCATGTTAAAAACAAGATGTCTGTATGGTTTTTTTTTTCATTTGGTTTAAAGCTCAGCAGTCATTACCCTACAGGCTGCAGACGTATTGATTTACCAATGGGTCACTCCAACAGCATCGATCAAAACAACGTGTGCTCTATCAAAGCAGGCCACAACTCGGTCCAGTCTTCGCTCTAATATCAGAGAGATAATCTCAACGCAGAGATGATGCAAAGCTTGTACATTTTCATTTGGCTACTACCCAGGTTTAGTCTTATTGATGCTCATCAGTATTCTGCTGCAGTCTCAGAAGCGCTGCAGCATCCAGACTTTACTGACTGCATTTCAGAGAAGTAACGTACAGATCTCTGCACAGACGCACACATTAATGCTCGTATCTGAATAATGTGGAAAAAAACCCATTATGATTCAACAATTGGAGTCAAACGCTGATAAATGGTCATTTGTTTTGATTGACTAAAATGTGGCATTTTCTCTCGATATCCATGAATATAAACAGAATGTTTCTGGGGGTTTGATTTGCTGCAAAATTAGGACAACTCTTTAGAAGTGATTTAATATTTGTACACAAAATGACAAAACAAGAACAGAACATGCACAACTGCTGAACGGAAACAAACTTAAATCTTGTTTCCATGATTGTCTTGCATTGATGGTTAACTTTCAGGTTGTTTCATGTTAAAGAAATCCACTATTCATATTTAATCAAAACCAAGACCTTTCAAAGATAAAAGCCTTTATAAATAAAAATGTGTAGCTCTAGTGTTGTAATGGACTTAATTAGTGTAACCAACTTTGAATTCAATAAAACTTTTTTTTGTTTTACCTTCATGAGTTCAATCTTAAAGCAAAGATTAGCAGAAATTGTTGCGGCTTCTTCTTAAATTAATACAAAAAATTGCCTTGCTGAACATTTGTCCAATTCATGTTTTTATTTTTTTTACGACATATTAAAAAGAAGTTATGTTGCACTTTTAAACAACCTACTATAACCCTTTTAAACTGCATGTTTTGCACATTACTCCCTCTAAAACTTAAAGATAAACCCTGCAATAAGCCACATTACACTGTCCCAAGACTAATCTCAAACGTTAAGAAAACATACATTAATTCCCATACTCAGAACCTCTGAAAACATTATTACACCATAATTTATTGTGTTTCATGTTGCGGTCTCATTTTAATTAGAAAAGTCCATATTTAGACCAAATGTTTAAAGCTTTTTAAACAGCCATTGTTGTGGTGTGGTATGGTATATGAAGTAACTCATTATATTACACCTGAATTAACTCTTCTAATGTGACAGCGAGACGTAGTGAAGAAGTAAATGAGAAGGAGGAAAGCATTATTTATTCATTCGCTAAAAGACAAACTTGCATTCTTCACAGCTGAACAACAAAAAAGAAATAGAACCCCTAAAACAGTAAAGTCAGGCTTATTTACTTAACAGATAAACAATCAGCTTCTAGTCCCATTATTCAGTGTCTTTCTTAGTTAATGGTAATGGTATGGGTACAAGAAGTTTTGCCTCCCATTTTTTCCTGAACTCCAGTAAACGGCTTGAAGGACAACCCAAACGTCAAATTTGAATGTCTTATCCTCCTGAACCCCTTAGAACAGAGCCAGAAAGGAAGCATGACACACACACACACACGGAAAGTTTCCAAACGGAGCAAACACAACGTTTCCCGTTTCATGAAGAGGTTTAACGAGGGGAAGATGAATCATGTGACTGAATCACAGACGACCCTAAACTACAATCATTAAAGATTAATGTGCGTTACTCAAAGTTTTGGAGTTTTCTAGTTCTATTGCACAGTTGAACTGCACTTGTCTTTAAAACAAGCAATACCTGAATGAGTGCGCCGGAAACTTCATGTCTGTTACCTCGTATAACCAAAACGGCATGTAAACAGCAAATGTAGTTACCACTGTGCCAATATGTGTCTGTGTTTGGAGGCAATAAGTTGATGAATTACTTTTGTCTGACTGAACAGACACTGAAGGACAATCACACTAGTACAAACACGGCTGAGGGTCAGGGATGCAAAAAGAAAACAAGGGTGGATGACATTAAAGGATGTCCCACTGTGAATCCATGTTGTCTTGTTTATTGCTGAAATTTCCACGGACTGTACATTATATGATCTATTTCGTATGTGTTCATCTGCAGACTATTTTTCCAGTTCATCATGGGAGCAAAAAATGTAAAAAAAAAAATATTCTCCCCCCAAAAAGCTTGACTAACTTTCTTACGATTAAATGGTATTATTAGTGTTTGCGCCAGACAAATAACTAACAAGCAATATTATTTAAGTATTTGATAATTGTAATTCAAGTACCAAGTTTTCAGAAAATAATATGTACATTTTCAGCTCATAAGCCTTCCCTGTAAAGACAAAAACTACACTGTTGTCAGCATCTTTGTAAGCCTGAGTGAATGATCAACCCTGGATGTAAACAGAGATTTTTGTTTGTTTATGTCTTATGCTGTTACTGATGGATTTATTATAGTCATGACATGTTCTGGTCCCTGTTCATTGTGTTTCACATATGATCCATCCATCCAGCTTGTTTTATATTTATTTGGAAGATGACGAGAACTCACAGAGGTTTTCTGCAGATCTTTTCCAGCAGTTGTGAGGTCTTCCTCTTTTCCACCACATTCCTCCTCCTGTGACGCTACTGGACATGACTCAAAGTCTGTATGTCCTAGATCTTGAAGGTATTGGAAAAGAGGGGAGTTCTGCAAAGGTACAGTGAGAAAGAGAAACGTATTGAGCTGCAGTGGTGGAAGAGCCATGTCAGACAAATGAAGGAAACAATATGAATATTGCATTGAAATCCCAACCATCCTGATTTTAACATGCATGAATTAAACGTAACAGACTTTGTTTCAGTATTTGTCAGCTGAAGATACAAATTCCCATGTTATCAACCAAGTCCATATCACAGAGGTATTAAGCGATATGCCTGCATAAAACTATCTTTAAATGCTTTATTGGGGCTTTTTGTTACCTTTAATGTAATTTAATTCTCTCCTGTATCACGACAAAGCCTTATCATTATCAGATACATATAAACTAGGGCAAGAGATTTTCTCCAAAAGATGCCTGACCCAGTTCTTCACAATTGCTAACCCTTTTTTAGCTGAGAGGGGAAACCAAAACTAACTTGTGACCATCTTTGCTGGATTTTATTCCTGCACAAAAAGCATGTGTAAACCTTTATGGCTACATTCCAGTCAAACAGGTAAATGCTACTTACATGCATTGTCACACAGAGTCGCAGCTCATGTTGCCATTACCCAGATGTCAATTTTCAGAACCGACGCATTGGCTGTAACCATCCCCACCCCGCCTCTGGTACCGGTTTACTAAAAATGGTGAAACACTAACAACCCAGCAGCTCAGTCTCTCTCATGACCACTAAAGCTGCTTGTCAGAAACACGTTTAGAAATAAGCCAAATATGCGGAGTTGTTTTGGATTAAGGGCGCATAGCAACAGGCAAGTTGAGGAGCTAGCTTGTACTGCATTTTTTTGTTAATGAACCTAGCACCTATATTTACCTCAAGCGGTATGACAAAGCATCAGTTACAAGTTTCCTTTTTTATTTTAAACGGCGGCGCTCTTACTAACCTCAAATACCACATCTTCGTCGAACTCCTCCGTCATTGCTCTCCGCCATTAATACGCGGCTCAGTCAGCATACTAAAGTAGTCGGTGAGGGGGTTCAGACTGAGCGGTTAGGAAGTTGATAGTTAGCCGACTGCTAAACTTGGACTAAAACTACAATTCCCACAAAGTCCGCCTACAGCTAAACATTTCCTCGCGAGAAACGAACGGTTACAAGTATCCATTCGAGCGCCTCAAAGTGGTCGCGAGACGCAGCCGTTTGGGATAAAACGCAAAGAAAATGGAGAGTTAGCAAAAGTTAGCCAGAAGTTACCGGAAACAGCATTCAAAATAAAACTTTCTAATTCCTACAAAGTAATTTGATGACAAGTTAATAAATAAACTCGTTTGATTTCATGCTTATTTATTAAAAACATACATCAAAATATGAATACTACTTATTCGTATGTAATTTTCGCAATTTTCCCCACAAGTCAAAACTATTTTCCTGAAGAATAGATTTATTTTTAAAGGCATAACCGGAAGTGTGTTTGGTTATGTCCGGTTTGGGCTGAAACTGTTGGGAAAAATCACCGTGGATAAAAAAAATTAAAAAAATAAAAAAAAACTTCGAAAAATGGAAAAACTAACTGGTGGCTCGACTTTATCCACGAATCCGCTGGCTAGATAAGGAACAACCGCAATGGGTCTGCTTGTTTTCTCCCTGGAGACTTTTTTACTCTGACAATGGTGCGGAGGAAGGAAAAAAAAACGATTTTCCTGCAATTCCATTGAATCTACTCATGGAGAAAGGAGCAAGTCGGGAGTCATGAGCACAGGTTTGTGTCGTGGGGGAGAGAACTACTTTATCTCAGCGGAATCTTTGCTTGTGCATATCCCGTTAAGGTCAATTAAAAGTAAATGCGAAAGTTTGTTTTAGTTCATGGGCTGTTACTGAGTAGAAAAAGTATCTTGCGGTCGCGAACATCCACTTTACTTTTACGCACGCGCAGTTAATTACAGCTCTTTTAATCACTTAAAAAAAAAAACTAAAACAGAATGCTCGGGGTAATTTCTATAAAAGCTTTTTTTTTTAAACTACAACTCTAAATCAAAACCCCCTCTGTCTGTTATAACAGACTCCGCTGCAGCTGGAGGGGGTTAAATCCTTTGTCTTAAAACATCTGTCCTGCTGTTGATGCAACAAGTCGGACTGAAGAGCTGTTGTTTTTAATTATTTTATTTTATATTAACCAGTGAAATTTACTCAGTTAAGACGGCTGCCTTTGCTAAACCCCATTTCAGCAAATGTAATATTATTTTAATACGTTTAAACGTTTTCTAGTTGAGTTTTTCGATGAGACCAGTGTCCTTATAAAAACAATCAATTTAGAGTTTATTTGGCTTATTCTAAAATTACATATGTCCTAAAATGTATTTTTAAAACTTCTTGGTGTTATTACCTTATACTGGTAAGTTCGGCTTATAGGTAAAATGAAAATTAACATATCTTAAGGGTTTTCTCACTAATCACCACCAAATAGGCGTATTAAAATACAAACGCTCACCACCGCCATCCTGTGTGAATGTTGTTGCTAGCTTGGCGTAAAGCGCTTCTAACTTTGATTTTTCTAACAGAAGGTTTGTGCCGAATTAAAAAGTAGATCTTACTGAATACTAAAAAAACGGATATAACGTGATATTGGTGAAGTTTATGCTTTTATAATGAGAGAAACTTTGTTTTTAGTGATTTTTGAACGGAGTTTGTGTCGAGCGGCGTGCACAGAGCGGGTTCTATTCGGAAACATCCGCTCGATGACTCCACTTCTCATGGTGTCAGCCAGTTTGAGCCAGGAGAGCGGAAAATATGGCCTCCAATTTGGGTTCACAGTTATTTTATATGCATAAATGTTATTATTTACTCAGGTTATTTCCCCTGTGGATTCTGTTTGTGTCCTCAGTTGCAATTCTAATATCAAGTCTGTGGAAAATTACACAACCATTTCAGTTTTTCTCAGTTGTGACATCCACACTGCAGAATAGTACCATAAATATTGTTTTAATCAGTCCCCCCCACAGACCCCCCCCCCCCACCCCCACCAACCCCCCACC